TTCAGGAGCGCGTTCCGCAAGCTGCTGTGCTGTCCGCGCCGCGCCGACCGCCGGCTCCACGCGGTCTCCCAGGACCTGCAGCGCTGCCCCTGTGCCTTCAGCCCTCGGGGGGGCCCTGCCGAGGACGGCAAGGCGGCCCCCGGGCGCCCCGGAGAGGACGGCGAGGCTCGGGGCAGCGGCAGCAGAACAGAGCAGACTCCTCTGCCCCAGGGCAGTGGCCACCGGCAGCGGCCGCTGGGCGAGTCCCGGCTGCAGGGCGCGCAGACCGCGCTGTGCTCACAGCTGGATGAGTAGGTACCTGGGGGCATTTACTGGGGAGGGGCGCGGGGGGTCCGGTCCAGCCCTTTGGGGTGTGACTGGGGGGCTGTCAGTGGTAGGAGTGCGCTCTGACAGCGCAGTGCAGAGCTGAGGGAGCAGGAGGACCCCGGGGTACATGGGAGAGGCTCTGGAATGTGGGACTGGGCACGACTGCCCTGTTCCCTGATGTTCCCCTAAAACTCTGGCCCCTGCAAAATTGGGGTCCCAACCAGTCCCACTCCAGCCCGCCAGGACCTGGGCTGCTGTTCCTGGGCAAATGAAACACGGGGGGTGAACAGGGAAGCAATATCTCCCAAAGCCGGGGATTTACCCCTTCTCCTCCCGATCCCACTTTCTGCTGCTAAAGAAGGAAAACGCGGGGATCCCTCCGGAGCGAGGCACTGCGGCTGCCGTCACCACTCTGGGCTCTGCAGGTTGCTTTGCCTTCCAGCGGTGTAAATCTGAGAAGGGAATTAATTTCATCCCGCTCCGTCCCTTGACGGGAAATGCGCTCCCAGAGCCGGCTCCCGCACAGAGCAGGGGGATGGCAGGGGCTGGTGGGGACTGGCAGGGGTGGCAGGGACGCCAATGCTGTGGCTGTGCCCTGCCGGCACCCCGACACGGATTTACACCTCCAAATTACAGGGTAGGGTTTTTCCACACTGAGGTTTGTTTTGTTTTATTAGTATGACAAAATTGGAGTTATTCTGGTTACTGTGGATTTTAACCGCGTTTCCCTCCTGACGCCTGAGTGCAGGAGAGGTTTCCTGCCAGACTGCACGGGCAGCAGGGATGTGCAGACAGAGGTGCCAGAGGTGTCCCCTGGGAAGGATTCAGCTGTGCTGGGAGCAGGGGACGGTGGATGGTGGATGGTGGATGGTGGGTGGTGGATGGTGGGAGGGTCTGGGCTCTCACCCCTGCGCTCCCCCATTTCAGGTTTGCTGCCCGAGAGCCCCCCGCGGGTCCGTCCGACTGACTGGGAGCAGCCGAGAGCTGGGAGGAGAGCGCTTCCCCCGGCCGGGTCATCATCCCTCCGGCCTCTCCTCTGCCCGCGTTGGCCGCCGCCCTCTCCGGGGACCACAGCCCGTGGCCAGCCCCAGGCTGCTGCCCGGGTTCGGGCACGTGAGTCCGGTGTCAGCCCGGCCGCAGTTGCCGACACCTCCCCTCTGCCCCGGGAGCTTGAACCCTCCCCGGGCTCCCTGGAGCTGCACACCTCGGGCACGGTGCTCCTGGATCCCTTCTGTGCCCGCTGGGGTGGTGGCTGCGGGTCCCTGTCCCCAGCTGAGCCTGGTGGGTGACACTGTGTCACCTCCCACCCTCTCCTTGCAGGGCCGGGGCTGGAGAAGCAGCAGCAGGGGTGACGGTGCTGGCAGGAGCCTGCAGTGCATGCACCGACCCGGAGAGGAGGAGGATCTCCCTTGGAAACGCTGGTGGTTTTGGGACAGCACCAGCTCCTTCGTGCCCTTGGTGCTGGAGACCTGGAGCCGGGAAAAAGCTCTGGAGCTGCTCGCCAAAGGGCAGCACAGCCTCAGGGATGTGCGGGCAGGTGACAAACTCCTGTCTGGGGTGTTCCTGGCATGGCTGGCAGTGGGATGTGGAGACTGCCAGCTCTGCTTTCTTGAAGGACAAGGGACCCTGTCGTCCCAGGCTTGGCCAGTTTTGGACAAAACTGTTTTCTTCTGTTGAGAAGGAGAGAAGAGCCTCCTGCAGGCTCAAGCCCTCCCCAGGATTTCCATGCCTGCCCCAGCTGCTGCATTCCAGGGCTGAGTGCAATTCCAGGAGCTGCAGTGATGCCTTAAGCAAAGGAAAAGCTCAGGGGAACGAGGGGAGCTCCGAGCACGGAGGACTTCCAAAACCAGGGAATTAGGATCTTGTCAGATCTCCGGGCAGTTTCTCCCTCTCGTTTGGGACAGATGTCCGTGTTGTGCCACTCAGGGATGGGAGGTGCATTCTCATCTCACGCGTGTGCAGACGTGCCCTGCCCACACCGCGCTGCCACGCAGCACCTTCGGGCACAAGTTGGTGTCAGTATGTTCAGTGACTGTACAGTTCTTGTCCTGGTTTGTGTCCCCCCTGCCGTGTGAAATAAACCTCTGGATCTCTGCGATGCCTCCAAATCTGTCCCGAGCAGAGGGTGCTGCTCCATGTGCTGTTCCCAGGTGGCTGCCTGAGGTTGGGGGGGTCCATCCCCCTTCCAGGGGCTCTGGCTGGCAGGGAAACGCCGGGCTCTGGGCATGCCGTGGTGCTGCTCCTAAGCCCTGCGCCGTGCTCCCACACCCCAAAGGGACAGGCAGAGCTGTCAGAGGCGTCCAGTGCCACCTCCTGGTGCCAGGGAAATCTCAGCTCCTGCACAGGAACTGGACCTGGGATGCTGCAAGGTCTCCCTGCTGGGATCGTTCCTCAGTGTTTTGCTTTTGACACCCTGCAATGATGAAATCACTAAATAAAGAGAAGAAATGGAGCTCGGGAGCATTCCCAATGCAGAGAGCCTCAGGCCCAGGTCTGGTGATACCTGTGAGGCTCATCCCCGATCCCAGCAGCTGACCCTGAGCGCTGGCAGGTCCCGCGTGTCCCCCGTTCTCCATGGGCTCATCCTTCCCGGAGGGACACGGTCCCACCCAGCCCGTGCTCTGCTGGCCAGCCCGCAGGAGCTCTGTGTTCATGGGCGACTCCCCAAGCAGTGGAGAGTAGGGTGGGCTGGCTCAGGGAACAGGGGTCCCGGAGAACAGGGGTCCCAGGGACCAGTGGTCTCGCTGGCAGGGCTGGCAGTCTCTAATGAAGCTGAAATGTGCTCAGGTGGGCTGTGGGTGCTGCTGAGGGGGGTGAGGAGATGGTGGGTGCTTTGATGCCCCCTCCACCCCCCGCACCTGCACTGTGTTGCCAACCTGCACCTCCCGGGCTCCTCCTTTCCTTTATTAGCAGTCGCTGTGAGGGCAGGGGCTCCTTGCCCTGTGGGTGCTGCTGTCTCGGGTGGGGGATTTGTTTTGGAGGATGAGCAGCTCGTTTTGCTTCTCCCGGTCGCTGTCAGAGGATCGGCCCGTGGCTGTTCTGTGGAGTACGGAGCTGGGAGCCCCAGGAGGAGCTGGGGGATGGTGGCTCTGCTCTGCAGGGTTGGGTGTGACTCCTGTTTTCCCACGGAGTGTGCAGCTGGGAAAGCCTCCCTTCAGTTTTTGGGTGGGGGGATCACCTTTGTTTTGCTTTTGGGAGGGGGCAGCCTGTGCCTGAGCAGACCCTGCCCTGTCCCCCAGGCTGCCAGCTGGGCACGGGCGCCCGGAGCTGCGTGGTGAAGGAGGACGATGATTTCTTGGAGCACCTGGTGCTGCTGAGAACGGTGAGAGCCGAGCCGTGCCCAGGGCCCCGCCGGGGCTCGGAATGAGGTTCCCTGCCATGGGCTCTGTGCCTGCAGATCTGCCTGGGGGCGGACGCCAGGGACGAGCTGCACGTGGTGGCTGTGGATTCCAAAAACGCCTCCGGGGAGCGCAGGCCGGTGCCCATCGCGGCTCTGCGGAGCTCCCTGCTCCCCATGGTAAGGGCAGCCCCACTCCCAACCTCTGCCCGGGGGTGACAGCGTCACCTGGGGCTGGGGCCGGGGGTCTCTGAGCTGCGGCTCTTTGCAGATCAGCCTCAGAGGTCTGGAGCTCGTCCCTCCCGTCACCTTCGTGCTCCAGTGTGGAGCTGGGCCGGTCTATCTCAGCGGGCAGCGTGTCACCCGTGAGTGCCATCAGCCGTGGGCTCTGGGGTCACTCGGGGGTGCTCCGGGGTCCCCTGGAAGTTCGTGCTCGCTGCTGTGCCCAGAGCGGGGGCTGCTCGGGGGGATCAGCCCGGTTGCAGTGCCGGGCTGGGCACGGTGGTCTGTGCCAGCTCCTGCTCTGAGTGGGATAGCGGCAGCGTTCCCATTCCGGGGTGGGGTGGGGTTTGCAGCCGGGGGGCTTCACCCCTGCCAGCGGCTCAGGGCTCCCCTGCTGCAGCCCTTCCTCTCCTCTCCTCAGTGGAAGATGATGCCGTGTCTGAAGCCCACGAGGAAGAGCTCTCGGAGGAAGATGTGGATGAAGAGGACGATGATGGAGCTTCATAGAACGGGGCAGCTTGGAGAAGATTTTGGCTCTGGAGTGGTGGTGATGTGGTGGTGGGGGGACCCTGTGTTGGGAGCTGCCAGCGCCCCGTGCCAAGGGCGGCGGATCTTCTTGCAATAGCTTAAAATAGTCAAACTTGCCTGAGCTGAGGCGGGCTCTGAGGATTTATCTTGGGAGGAGGTTCTGGCAAATGGGGATTTATTGATGGGTTTTTTTTCCCTGATGCTGCTGGGCTGCTGAAGTCCGTCCCTGAGGAGGGCGGGCTGGGTGTGCGGTTTGGATTCAGCAGCACACGTTTGACCACAAGGACTTTATTCCACGCCTGTGTCCGAGCTTCTCCTCTGAGGCGGGTGCCTTGCAGACACGGGGGAAGCAGGCAGGGTGTGTGGAAGTCGGTCTAAAAACCCAGTCAATCAAGTTTGGATTTTAGGGGACTATGGGCATGTGTGATGGAAGCGTGGCTGGGGAGCTCACCTGCGGCTTTCCAGCACGCGGTTTCACACGCCCTGCACATGCACCGGTACCCACAGGCTGTACCGCACACCTGGACGCTCACCTGTCTGCACTCACCGGCATCTGTGCACACCTGCACACACCTGTACTCACCTGTACACACACCTGCATACACGTATGTACACATCTGAACTCATCTGCAACTACACCTGTGTGTGTACTCACCTGTACACACCTATACATGCACACCTGTACGTACACACCTGTACATACCTATACGTGCATACCTGCACGTACACACCTGTGCATACCTGTACACACCTGTACGTGCACACCTGTACATACCTATACATACACACCTGTGCACACCTGTACACCCCGGCCACACCCCCGCAGGCCCCGCCTTTCCCGCGCTCTCGCGAGAGGGGTGGAGCGGGGCTGGGCGGGGCGCACCGGCCGCCGCCGCCGCCGTTGCCGTCCCGTTCCCGGTGCGTTCCCGGCGCCGCCGGTGCCGTGGCTGCCATGGCGGGCTCGGCCGCGGGCTGGGCGCCCACCCACGTGCGGGTGACGGTGCTGCGGGCGCGGGGGCTGCGCGCCAAGGCGGCGGCGGGCGGCAGCGACGCGTACGCGGTGATGGCGCTGGGCCGCGACAAGTTCCGCACCTCGGTGGCCGAGCGGTGCCGGGGCGAGCCGCTGTGGCGAGAGGAGGCCACGTTCGAGCTGCCGGCCCGAGCGGCCCCGCTGCGTCTCACGGTGCTGCACCGCGCCCTGACCGGCGCCGATAAATTCCTGGGCCGGGCCGAGGTGGAGCTGGCGGCGCTGCGGGACCAGGGCGGCCCGAAGCACACGAGGTGTGTGGGGCGGGGGGCTCCGGGACCCTCGGGGGCCGGGAGGGGTGATGGGGGTACCCGCAGTGAGAGGGGTGGCAGGGGTTCTGTGTCCCGCGGGAGCCGGGGACAGGGATGGAGTGGCTGCTCCGGGTCCTACGGAGGATGGGGAGGAGGTTTTGGGGGGTCTCTCAGTCCCATGGAGGGAAGGGGGAGGTTTGGAGGGGACCTGTGCGCCCCACGGAGCTCAGGGAGAGGGATCAAGTGGTTTCTGTGTCCCACGGGAACTGGGGAGAAGGATGGAGTGGCCCCTCCGGGTTCTACAGAGGATGGGGTTTTGGGGGCGTCTCTCAGCCCCATGGAGATCAGGGAGAGGGATGAGGGGGTTTCTGTGTCCCACAGGGGCTGGGGAGGAAGTTGAGCTCTGTGTCTTCAAGGAGGTGAAGTGCTGTGAGGAGCCCCAGCTCCCCATGGAATGTCCCTGTTCCTCCTGGAAACCTCTGTGCACCTCAGGCGTGTGTGGATCTGGTGGGAGACGCCTGTGCCCCCGTGGGAACCTGTGTGTCCTGCAGAATGGGGGTCACCCCGTGCCCCAGAGGAGTGGGGGGCTCTTGTTCCCCACAGGGACCCTGAAGCCCCATAAGTGCCCATGGGGTGACCCTTCGGAGCAGGGTCCCTCCTGATGGGGGTGCGTTCCCATAGCTGGGGGCCCAGAGAAACTTCTCCCAGCCAGTCCTGCCTGGCCCTTGGGTTTGATTTTTCAAACGTTTCTGTGTGAGTGCTGACACTGTCCAGAGGAAGCAGCCAGCCTGGCGCCCAAAACCTGATGTCCTCAGAATGCTCCCTCCTTCCAGCACGGAACCGGCAACAACCATTTAATTTTTTTTTCCTAATAAACAACGCGTGTCAGGGTGGATAATTCCACGTTCCACAGACTGACCCCGCTGCTCCTGCCCAGCGCCAGCTCTGTGTCACACTCCTGCTTTGAACACAAGCACGGGGAAGGTGAAACCCAGGGGTGGTTCCCGGGAGGGTTTTACTGGGAGTCAGCAGCCTTGTAATGTGCTGGTGAGTCACCTTCCTCCCCGGGCTCACCTGAGCCCTGCCGTGGATGGAGCCGTCCCGCTTGTCAAGGCCTAATTAGGCCGTGGGTTCATTAAGGCTGTGTCAGACGCTGCTGTGTTTACACTGCACAGCCCCTTGGTCAGCAGAGCTCAGGGCTCGTGCCTCGGGCTCCTGGGTGCGTTCCTTTGTGTCTGGGCAAAGGAAAATGGAGGGGGAGAAAAAAAGAAAATACAGCTTGGGTACTCCTGGGGAAATTTCTCAGGTTTTCAGTTGTTTCCAGCCCTGTTTGAAGCCTGTTTTGTTCTTGCTGCCATGGTGATGTGTAGCCATAAAGGACTAGTTTTATTTGGAAAATAGATGCCCGTTGATTGACAGGTGCTCACTAACATGATAAATGCCATTAATGAGATTTTTAGTGGTTTTAGGGTGTTGTCAGTCCATTATTTCCTTCCAGCCTCTCCCGGGCTGAGCTGCCTTTGCTGAACACGGTGTTTGCACAATTGTGGCACCGAAGCCCTGTGAGCCCAGGATGCTCCTAGAAACCAGGGCTTGGAACAAAAGTGCCCAGTGCTGGCTCGTGTTAAAGGGGTTGTGATTCCCTGCAAAGCCTCAAAAAAATAAAACCCCATCCCTGGGTGCCTTCTAACCCCGGGCTGGAGCACCTGACTGGCACTCAAGTGTTCATTTAGAATCACAGAATGGACCTTAAAGCCCCTCCTGTTCCACCCCCTGCCCTGGGCAGGGACAACTTCCACTGGACCATTGCTCCAAACCTGGCCTTGAGCTCTGAGGGACAGGACAGACTCAGCTTCTCCCAGATCAGGGCCTCACCACCCTCAGAGGGAAGAATTTCTTCTGCATTTCCCTCTGAAGTGTCTGCAACAGATTCTTGAATCCATCTCCTTCGGTTATCCTCATTAGTTTTGAATTTTCTCAGGAGCAAATCACCTTTTCCTGTTCTCTTTCGTTGCTTCCAGCATATCTTTGGAGATTGAAGTGTAAATTTGACGGCAGGGCACATTTGAATGCTCCATTTGCTTCCTTTATTTTCCCATTCCAGCTGGTGAGGAGAAGGAAACAAAGCAGTTTCCAGGCAGCCTTTGCTATGGGTTCTGTGGGGTGGGGAATTCTGCGGTTCCATCAACAAACAAAACCGTGCTGGTGTGCAGCGCTGGTAATTCTCTTTGCTGGCTCAAATGTGGTTTGAGTGTCACAGGGGGTGGTTGAGGGCGTGTGGGTGGTGGGATTGTGGTTGAGGATGCCCGGGCACTCCCCACACTGAGCTGGGAGCTGTGTCTGGGGAGGGAGAAGGCTCTGTCCGAGCACTGCCCTTCCTGGTGTGTGCCAGTCACGAGCCTGGAGGGGTGAGTGGAAATCCCCCGAGGTCTGTAAGGCTCGGCAAGGCTGGGCTTGGCTCTCTGGTGTTGATTAGGAGTTCCTTGGCTTAAGAGGCATTAAGGAGCTGGAATGAAAGGTATGAGGGCGTGGGACGCTGTGCAGCTCTGAGGCTGCTGCTCTGCTCCACTTCAAAGCCCTGGCCCCTGCCAGTGTCAGGAGGAGAGATGAAAGGGCAGAGGAGAGTGGCTGAGCTGAAATACAGGAATTCCATGTTGTGCTTCTGTTTTTTCTCCTTTTTCTTAACCCTTCCTGGTCGGGGTTTTAAACCAAATCTTACTAATAACTTTCTGTTTAAGATAAGGAATGTTTTCCTTGGCACCTGGGCCCATGACCATGACGTCACCATAAGATTAAAGGCTTTCTTTTCCTACATTGTGGGTTGATTTGATTTTTCAACCATAAGTGCCCTCCGTGTTCTCAATTACTGGTGGTTAAAGAATTCTCCTTGTTGCTGCAGGTGGTACAAGCTTCACTCCAAACCAGGGAAGAAGGAAAAGGAGAGAGGGGAGATCGAGGTGGATATCCAGTTCATGAGGAGCAACATGACAGCCAGCATGTTTGATCTGTCCATGAAGGACAAGCCCCGCTCTCCCTTTGGGAAGCTCAAAGACAAGCTCAAGGGCAAGAGGAGCAGTGGCCTCTCGGACACGGCGTCAGAGATCGTCCCCAGCACCTCCCACTCCCCTGCTGACAGCGAGGATGAGGCAGCCGAGAAGGAGAAGAAGAAATCCAAGTTCAAAGCGCTGTTCTCCAAGCCTGGCCTGCAGAAGACATCCCTGTCCCAGTCCATGTCAGTGCTGCCCACCCAGCAGCCCCTCACCCAGAGGGTTCGGCTGCGCCCCAGTGACTTCCAGCCACAGTGGGATGAGGAGGAGCCCGAGACCTCTCCTGTCTCAGAACGTGAGTATTGGCACAAAACCTTCCCCCAAAGGGTTGTTTGCACCCTTCACAGCACTGGTTAAATTCTTCTTTCTGAACAAATCCATAGAAAGTCCCTCCTGACACTGAGGCTGTCAGTAGTGTCAGAGAAAAGGTTGTTCTTGCATCTTGAATTTCTCCCTGTTTTTTCTTTTCTAGGATCCTTTGAAAATGTGCTGGAAGAGAAGCCAGCTCCTTCTCCTCTGTTCAAATCTCGTAAACCAGCCTTTTTGGACAGTAGGCAGCTAACGCAAGGAACCACTAACCACACCAAAAAGGATGGGCTCTCTTTGTTCAGTGGCCTTAAATCCAAAAGTGATCCCGTGTCCAAGTCTAGTCTGTGCATCAATGGCAGTCACGTTTATATGGAAGAAACCACAACAAAGGACAAGACTCCAGCCTCCTCCCCCTCTCCTCACAACCTCAGGAGGAAGCAGCTCTTTGCTTCAGAGGAGAACCTGTCCTCCAGGTCCACTAAATCACCTGAAGAGATGGGAAGAACCTCTCCTGGCCAGGCTTTCTCTGGGTCCACATCCTTGGAGACCTTCAAATCCATGACTCTGCCATCGTACAAACTGCTCAGCAGTGAGGAGCACCTGGACACCAGCGTCCCACCGAGCGTCGAGGCTGTTAGAGAGACCAAAAAACCAGAGCCCAAAAAGTCTGCCTTGCTCTCCCTGGTCACTGGGAAGAAGGAAATGGTGAAGACCAGCGATGCTGAGATTATTCCTGACAGGACCCTGCAGAATGAGGAAAATGCAATTGCAGAAGAGAAGAGTGAAGAGGAGGCCAAATGCCCTGAAGGCCCAGCAGATTTGGGCAGGGGGAGCCCGTCAGGAGATGTTCTCCATGTGGAGGAGGCCGTCACAAACAAGCAGCTGCTCAGCCCTTGCGAGGAGGAGCACAAACCTGAGAAAGCTGCTCCAGCCAAGACCAAAGCTGTGAAACCCAGGTGAGTCCCAGCTGCTGGCAGGGGTCAGGATGGGCAGTGGTGGTGGAGGTGGCAGTGGGCTGTGTGCTGCCACACCTGGGCTCAGGTGCTGTTCTGTGGTACCTGCGGGTTCTGTGGTGGCGTCGGGTGCTTTGATAGCAAATAATTCCAGGTTCTTCCTCAGTGTGAAAAAAAAGATGGATGTAGGGATGCTCCTTGTAGGTGATGCTGAAATAGTGGTTCTCTAGTGCAGGCACCTGTGCAGGTGCTGAAGGGGTGATTTTCTTGCTGGATTTCTTGCACAAACTAACTCAGTCTGAGCTGTGTGGCTGCAGCCTCCCCAGGGTCTGCAATGCCCGGACTAATGTCTCTGCTTTCCTCTTCCCTACTTGGCTGTGGCCTTCCAAAGGGTAGCCTTGGAGCCCTTCTGCTTTTGGCATTGTTCACAGCAGCACAGAGGGATTTGGTGTGGATTTGTACACAAGGCTTTTTCGGAAATTCTGCTCCTTTATCCTTCATACACGTATATATAGAAATTGTGTTTGGGGTTTTATGTATATATGTAGGTGTGCCCTACTAATAAGGCTGTGTTTTGTGTGTGTCCCTAACTCCTCATTTTCGGTGCTTCTCAAGTTTCAGTTTCTTGCCTGTGCATTGTTTTACATACTAATAAACCTGCTTGGGGTGCAAAGAGACTGTGTTTAAACAGCAAAAGCAAGCTCTGCAGCAGAACAGTTCTGACATAAGCCCAGTGCTTGGTAAAGGTGCAGTTAAGGATGTAAAGTCTCACAGGCAGGGACCTCTCTCTGAGGTCTCTTTAAAGTACAGCTCATCTCCAGTGGCAGAGCTGATGGAGGCTGGTGCTAAAGCTTGTCTGTTCCTGCCTCGTGTTGCATCTGCAAGTGACATGCGAGTTTTTTGTCCCTTTTTGCAGACTGGGCCTGTCTCCAGAGGAGGAACCCAAAGCCACGCTTCCTACTCTTGCACCTGACCCCCTCCCTGCTTTCCTCTCTGTGCACCGTCCCAGCAGTGCAAATAATCCTTTTATTTCTAAAGTGGGGCAGACAGTCCAAGGGCCAGACTCTGACAGCACCACCAGTTCTCCTGCCTCTCTCACTTCTCCTGCTGTTGCTGCAGAGCTTTGGAATGACAAAAATCCCTTTGCTCCTGAGTGGGACAGAGCATCCAGAGCCCTGGATCCCCACAGCATCTCCCGTTTCCCTTCACCCCATCATCCCGCAGCCTCTGTTCCCAAAGTGCCTCTTCCTGGGCAGGTCTCTGCTAGGGGCAATAATCCTTTTGCTGCTGACTGGGGGCAGGCTCCTGAGGGCTCCCAGGATCTCTCTGGCCCACCCACACCTCCTGTCCCCTCTGGCTGTCATTTCAATGGCAATAATCCCTTTGTGTCCAAGCCTGGGGGACAGGCAGTGCCAGGTTTCCAGGCTGTCTCTGGTTCTTCCCCTGCCTGCCTGCCTGCTGCTGAGGACTGTTCCTCTGCAGGACACCCTGCTCGTGGTGCTCCAGGGGGCTCTGTGGATGTGGCTTTGGCCAGTGGTGTCACAGCTGTGCCAGACCCTCTTGGCACCTTGTCTGACCCCCCTTCTGGCCCCACTGGGCTGCCTCCAGGGCCCCACTGTGGTTCTGCCCAGCTTCAGCTTGAGGATCCTTTGGAAAGCAGCAAGCCAGGCACTGGGAAATCTGTGTCCTTTGTCCTGGGGGGATGGCAGGCTGTTCCATCAGGTGATGGAGGTTTGGGTGGGCAGGAAGGTGGAGAGCAGCACCTGGATTCCAGTGGAAGGTTACAGATGGCTTCAGGGGTAGCAGGAGAGCGAGCAGGGTTTGGGGGTGAGCAGGGAGCAGGGACAGAGCTCTCAGGGGACAGCACACATCCCACCTGGAGCAGTGATGGAACAGCTGTGGAGGTCCCTGGTGTGAGCACTGAGCCCTGCACGAGGGGTGACAAAGGTTTTGTGTCCCCTGAGAGCGAGCTCAGGGAGGAGCAGGAGACCCGTGGTGCAAAGCAATGGGCAGAGTGTGTGCCCATGTTAGAGCCCCGGGCAGCCCCAGCTGCTGGAAATGAGGCACTTTCCCAAATCCAGCCAAGCCCAAGAGCCTGCACGGTGTCCCCTCTGGAAGGGGATCCAGGGAGGGCTGGCAGCAAGGTCCTTGTGCCCCCAAAGCCAGCCCCACGAGTGGCTGCACTGCTGAGGAAATCCCAGGTCACTTCCCAGGCTGAGCTAAGGGCTGATGCTCCTGCTTCAGGAGATGCTGTAAAATCCACACCAGGGCTCCCATTCCCGGGTGATGGGTGCCTCCCTCAAGGTGGCTCCTTGGAGCCTGTTACCCCTGCAGTGACACCCAGAGGTAACAGTGGCAGGCCTTCAGGAAGGGAAGGTGGTGACGATTTCTGTGTCAGTGTCACAGATCTCAGGTCTGCCATTCCTGTGCCTGGAGGCCGGGGCTCGGTGCTGGCCGCTCTTCCCGTGATCCCCGAGGGAGGCTCTGATGATGAGCTGCTGGGGGACTGCCAGGAGAGCTCTGGGCTCCCTGCAGGTGACAAAGGTGTTCTGGGCAATGGAGAGCAGAGAGAGCCCTCTGATAGCTCTGCTATCCCAGCTGCTCGAGGAGGAGGAGCTGTTGCTGGTGCTTGGAAGCCAGGGGGTTTGGCTGTGCTGCCTGCTGCAGTGGGTGCTCCCAGGGTCTGTGTCCAGGGAGCTGACTCAGGCTCAGGTGTGATGTCTCATTCCAGGGAGTGTGCCAGTCATTTCGAGAAACAAGAGCTGGAAAGGAGTGCAGGTGTTGAGGAGTGTGCAGAGAGTGACTTCTCTGAGCCTTCTGCTTTCTCTTCCTCCCTGTCCAGTCCTTGCCAGCCCTACTCTTCCTCTCATTCCCTTCTCTCTGACACCCCAAGTCGTAGAGCAGAGTCTCCGAAAAAGCCAGCAGCCGAGGGCTTCGCAGATAAAGCGGGAAATTCGGGCAAGAAGAAACTTCTGCAGGCACGGGTTTCACCCTCTGAAACGTTCCCTAACCAAACCCCTCGGGGTGCTGAAACCGTGTCTCCCCAGCACAGGTGAGACATGTGGGGGTCACAGCAGGTACCTCTGTGCAGGTGTGAGCTTTGCTTGGCTCTCTGGGTGCAGATCTGTCCCTGCAGCTGCTGGATCTGATGGGACCGGGCTGCCCTGACTTCTCTGGGGCTGGACTTGGCAGGGCCTGGGTGCTGCCACCCAGAGCAGGGTTCTGCTGGCTCCAGGAGGATCTGTGCAGCTCCTCGGGGTGCCGAGGGGAGCAGCTGCTCACCACAGCTCTTTGGGGAGCCCTTAGGGGAAGTGCAGGTGGAATGGAGTCATTGCATCCCACTGGCCTGGCCTGAGCTGTTTGTCAGACCTGGGAGAACGATCACCCTGAGAAAGGGGGGGTGATGCTTCATGTGCTGGCTGAGCTGGGCTCAGTGATCACCACAACTGATGCAGCTCAGGCTGCTCCTGGAGCTGCAGCTCCTGCTGCTGGGGCTGCTGCCACTCACCTGCCAGCCCTGGAGGCTTCACCTGCAGAGCTCTGCCCGGGCTCTAGGACACCTCTGTGCCAGCATTTGCTGAAATAAAAGGAAAATTTTCTTCCTGTGTTAACATTGGTGCTGTAAATCCTGCTCAGGCAAATAGTGACAGCACTTCCTCACAGCTTGTGGTGTCAGTTCAGATTGGACAAGGCCTAACACTCGTCTCAGGACAGCAGAAGTATTTGATATGTTGTAAGATCACAAATATGTTCTGATTAGGAAAGTCAGGCTGAAATACCAGTTCCTGAGGGATCAGAGTAGCTGCCCTGTGTTCTGTCTCCTCGTGCAGCCTGACCTGGCTTTTCTTCCATGACACACACAGGATGTGTTTCCCTTCCTGCTGCTGCTTTATCTCCAATGCCCTAAGTCAATAAAGATAGTAAAGAACTGGAAAATACTTACAAAACCCCTGTGGCTTAGAAATACCTTGAATACCTTGTCTTCCTGAAGCTGAATCTCTTTTCTCTCAGGAGATAGTCAGGGAGGGAATTGTCCCCAGTTCCTTGCTGCATTTGTTCTTAGTCTAAAGATCTGTGTCATGCTGCTCTTACATCTTCTGCCTCAACAACAGGAGCCTTTTTTTTTTCCTGTTGCAGACTCCATCCTGTGAAGCCAATGAATGCCATGGCAAACAAGCCTCAGAGCAAGAGCCTGAACGTCATCAGCACCATGAATGAAAAGCTGCTGGAAATGAGTGTGAAGGTATGGAGTGGCACTTTCACTGGCCAAGCTTTGATTTAATTGAAGAGTTTGTGTATTCCAGATAGTTGGGACATGAACTTCCTTTTGCTCAGCCCCCAAGCATGGGAACAGTCCTTAAATTCTTATTTTCCTGCAGACTGATCTATAATAGAGCTGGGCTCGTGTTTTGTGGAGGAGGGTCTCAGGCACAGCCATTCCTTGGAGCACAAGGATGAGCAGTGGGATTGAGAGGAGCTTTCAGCATAATCCTGGCCTCAAAGAGACCTCCAGGCTTGAGGCACAGCTTACCTGCCATGTTGATCCAAAAGGCTGGAAGCATCCCTGGGCCAACAGGGAAAATCACAGGTCCCTTTATGGTCTGTCAGGGTATTTTGGGGAAATAGAGAAGTTAGAATTGAAATAACAGCAGTGCCTCCTTCTGGTGTGAGGGGAGAGGATGTGAGCTGAGTGATTCAAACTGTTCCAAGGGGGTTGAAAACTTGCAGTGGGTGTTGTGGTGTTCTGATTGCACCTGAATTGTGTGTGATGCCCCACAGGAGCCTGAGTGCTCACACTCCCTGCCTGGGCAGTGCTCTGGGAGCTGGAGGAATCAGCAGAGGCTGCCCAGTACCTCTCAGTGCTGCTTAAGGGTTAAAAACAGACTTTTCAAAGAAACAGGAAGAAACAGCAAAGGCCTGGGTGGGTGTTTCTTGCTGTTTAACCTGAATTTGGCTTCACCAGTCTGCATTTAAGCAGCTGGTTGAAGCTTTACCAGGTTTGTTTAGCAGCAGCTGTCACCCTGCTGGTCTGTGTGTTGTGTTGCTGGTTTGGAATGTCCTGTGTCTGCTCTGACCCTGCCTTCCCTCCCTCCCTCTCTTCCCAAGAAATACGATCCCTCAGACCCTGCCTATGCCTATGCTCAGCTGACACACGATGAGCTGATCCAGCTGGTGCTGAAACAGAAGGATACCATCACCAGGAAGGACCTCCAGGTGCGGGAGCTCGAGGACTACATCGACAACCTGCTTGTCAGGGTCATGGAAGAGACCCCCAACATCCTCCGTGTTCCCATGTCTGGGAACAGAAAGGCTGGCAAGATGTGAAGGGTCTGGGGGTGTCGGTGGGCAAGGACTGAACCCCCCCAGAGGAGGGTGGGGAGCTGCTGTGGAGCAGGTGGTGCTGCTTGTGCTGCTCACAGAAAATGACCTTTTTCCTGTTTCTGCCTTGAGCAACCCTGGGATTGATTAATAGTTCCATCGGGTGTTGTAATGAAGTCACCTTATCGTATTTATTTTTTGTTTTCTTCCCATTATTTGGGAAGATCAGGCATTAATCCAAAGGCTGGTTGTGATGGGAAGGAGGGTTTTTGATGTGTTTTGCTTTCCAGCAAGGCACTGATGATCCTTTAGGAAGATTTTTTTTAATGGTTTTGTTTTTAGCAGCTTTGATAGATCAGTTACTTTTCTTTCCACATCTGAAGTTGTAGTGCAATATAAATCCTTGTACAGTAGAGCTAGAGGATTTGACTGTTTTTAAAATAATAATTAACTACACTGGAAAAGTCCAAAGATGTCCCAGCTTCAGGCCTGGGTTGTAATTTTAAAGGAATTAATGCCCTGAAAGTTGACCATAAGCTGACCAAATCTCAGTTCATCTCATCAAGTGGACATTCCCAAGAGTCCTTCAAGGGAAAGTTCACAGGTTTTTTGGAGTAGGAGCCATTGAGGTTCATGGTACGTTTCTGCCATAGGAGTGGCATCAATGGATTGGGCCAAAGGTACATTTTAACTCAGAAATTCTCTTAGTGTCTTAAAATCTCCTGCTCTGGAGGTTGTTCAAAGGAGGCAGAGGCTCCCCTGGCCCTGCCCTGTGCCCTGGAGCAGGGCTGGCTCTCACATCTTGTGCCCTGTGGGAGTTCTGTGACCATTTCCCTTTTGCATTCATTCAGGACACAGAAATGCTTTGGCTTTTGGTGCTGGGGCTCACCTTGAACACCCTTGCAAGGCGAGCAGTCTTGCAGAAAGTGCTTTTTGCTGTCATTGCAGAGAGGGGAGGGAGCTCTGGGCCTCCACCCACTCTGGTTCCTTGCTGCTCACTGGGAGGAAATCCTTGTGTGGCTGAGAGCTGCTGGGTGTGCTGGACAATCCAGACCTCCCTGGGGGTCTCAGTGGGTTCAGGGATGTTCTCCCAATCCCATGAAACAGTGGGATCAGCTCATTGTGGGGAGCAGCCACCACAGCTTCCCCCCTGGGAGCTACATGGGGCTTCTGTTTGCTGAGCTCTTGGCAAAGATCCAAAAAGTCAGATGCCTTTTTTGCACCTCTGGGATTGACCAGGGTGGGAAGAGTCCATAAAAGGCTTAGAGGGAAGCTGGAAAACCAAGAGAGCAGGAAGCAAAGGACCAAAGCTTCATGAGGAGCAAAGCTTAAAGCTCTCCAGCCTTAATTCAATGGAAACAAACACTCCTACCTGTGGAAACTGTTGGGTTATTGGGTCACTCCTGGCTCAGGGGTGAGTTTCTAACTCAGTTTTTCTACAGCAAAGCACTTTATTGAGGGACTGGAGCAGCTGGATGGACTCTCACTCTGTGAGCAGTCTGCTTACAATTGTCATAAACCACTGAAAACTACTGGAGATCTCAAATACTGTATTTTTGTAGTGAGGAGCAGTTTAATATATTTGCATGGAGATGTAAACATTTATTAGAAAAATCAAAAAAATGCTGTTAATGACTTTTTTTTCCTGCTTATTCCTGCTACCAAAGTCTGGAGCTTTACTGGCAGAACTGTCCTTCATGGGCAGCCTGACCAAACAAGCCTTAGGAGCTGAGTCTTGCAAGATTTCAGGTACTTTGATCTCGTTTTAGCGTTACTGGAGCAGTGGGGGCGTTCTCTCCTTTCTGCTGTCCCCTCTGCTCTGAATGAAGGGTCTGAAACCTTGGTGGTGGTGCTGGTTTTCTTCTGAGTGGTGCTGGTTGGCTTTGCTGGAGCTGCTGCTGCCTCTGGTGCCTTCTCGAGTGAGGAAGATGAAGGATTGATTTGTTTCCTCCTCGTGCCTCTGCGGATCTCTGGACAGAGGATCCTGTACCTCACTGATAAACTTGTATTTTAGACTTTTTTCTGCTGGGAAGAGTGACCTGCACAGAACCAAAGCAATAAATAATATTGTAATAAATAATATCTCTGTCCTAGCAGAGATGAAGCCTTAACGCTTCGAATAGCCTCTCCTGGCTGGGGGAGCCTTTTTTTGCTGGTTCCAGCCGTGGCTGTTGGGTGGTTCTTGCCCCAGGGTTGTTCCCTCCCTTGGGTGGCTGTAGCCACTTGTATCACCCAAGCCTCGGAGCTCGTTTTTATTGGCGATACTCGTTAAAGTCTTCCTTTGGTGGGAGGGGACTGGCATCTTACATCCTCAAGGGCCTTAAGAATCAAATATATTGTTTTATTATTGAAGGATCTGAATGCATGTTCCCTGTTTGTACTCTCTGCTTTTAGCCCAGGTACTGTTTTTTTTTTTTTTTTGGTTTTATGAAACACTAAAATAAACACATCTTAAACCCAGCGTTCTGATCACTGTCTTTGTTCTGTTTGAAGAGGGCCTCGTCCCTTCCTTGTGCCCAGCTCCGCTCATCCTCCAGGTATTTCGGGACTGGTTTCATCCCTGCGGGAACTTCCTGGTAAACACCTCGGGCTGGGGAAACCTGCTGGACGGGCTGCTCCGCATCTGCAGAATGGAGAGTTTCTCTAAAGTGACCGTGGAGGAGAGAGGGCAGAGAGCGCTGCCGGGACCCCGGCGCTGCTCCCTGAGGGCAGCACCGGCCTCAGCCCGCGGCGGTGATGGGGGCAGGAGGAGGAGGCGGCTCTCGGCCTCCCTGCCTTGGCTGCCCTGAGCGCGGTTATCGCCCTGCTCCTCCGCACCGATGGCCCCGGGGTTCCCCGCCGAGGAGGCCGCATTGTCCCCTCGGTCCCGCTCCCTCCGCCGGTCCCGGGGCCGCCGCCGCCGCCTCCTGCCCGGCCATCCCCGGCGGAACGCAGCGTGCAGGGGCGGCGCCTCTGCCGGGCGGGCGTCGGGACGGACCGGGGGCGGTGCCGCTATTGGTGAGCTCGGGCCGGGACGGGCCGCTATTGGTGGGCTCGGGCCGGGACGGGCCGCTATTGGTGGGCTCGGGCCGGGACGGGCCGCTATTGGTGGGCTCGGGCCGGGACGGGCCGCTATTGGTGGGCTCGGGCCGGGAGGTGCCGCTATTGGCTGTTATCGGTGCGCCCGCCCCGGCGCTCCCAGGGCCGCGATGGCGGCGCGGGGCCGCTGCCCCGAGTGCGGCTCGGAGTCCCTGGTGGAGGACGCGCACTACGCGCAGCAGCAGCTGGTCTGCGCCGCCTGCGGCTGCGTCCTGTCCGAGGGGCTCCTCACCACCACCTACACCGACGAGGAGCATCTGCGGGGTGCGGCACCGGAACCGGGAGCGTCCGCGCTCGGGGTGGTGCAGAACCGACCGTGCGAAGCTCGTTTGGGCCTCTCTGAGCCGGTCCGAGCAGCGAAGCGTTCCCCGAGCTGTGGCTCGGTGTGCCGTGCTCGGCACTGTCGGGTCAGACCGGCTGCTCCCCTTTCCTCCATCCCCCCTAAACACCAGCAGGGTTTTCCATCACAGCCAGGGTTTAAGCTTGGAGCCGGTGATGAGCTTTAAATTTAAACTGTAGAATCTCTTATTGTTAAAAGAGATATTAAAATCTCACTTAAATCTCTTAGATGAGCTTTAAGTGCAGCGGAGCAGCCCCGAGGCCGTTGCCTGGCTCTGTCTGCAGGGAATCCCTGGCTCAGAGGAGATCCCGCAGCTCGCTTTTACCTGTGCTGCTCTGACTAAAACAATTCAGATTGCTGGAGTCCGGTTCTGTGGGCATCTGGTTGCCCGAGATCCAAGTGTCTCTGTCCCTGGATTCCCTGCAGGACTGACTGATCTAACCCTGTTTTCCAGAGGTCGCCTATTCCCAGAGCACTGGCCAGAAGGAGCAGCTGAGCCGCTGCCTGCAGCGAGGTAAGAGCAGTTCCTGAACACCCCGATCCTCCCTGGCTGCCGCTCCAATTTGTTTAACGCGTTTCTAGTGGTAAAAAAAATGTCCAACCCCTTCGGAGCCGGCGGCAGAGCCGGGGGAGGGCACTTGGTGCTGCATGCAGCCGGTGCCTTCCCTGCCCCGAGGGACTGGAGGTGTTTTAGTGCCCTCTGTGGGGCTGCTCTTGCCCAGCTGCCTGCTGGAGCTCTGAGGGAAATTCCTTGATCCGATGTGTGAGGGAGGCATGTCCCCGCAGGGATCCGGCGGGTGCAGGACCTGTGCAAAGTGCTGCAGCTCCCGGCAGTGTTCGAGGAGACGGCCGTGTCCTACTTCCAGAGGGCTCTGCAGCTCCCTGCCTTCCGCCTGGTCAGCCTGGAGAAGAAGGAGCTGCTGGGGGGCTGCTGCGTGTTCGTGACGTGCCGCCAGCGCAACTGGCCCCTGACCATGGGCACCGTCTGCTCCCTCCTGTACGCCAAGCAGGACCTGTTTGCCAGCGTCTACCTGAGCCTGCAGAAGGAGCTGGGGCTCTCGGTGCCCGCCCTGAGCCTGGCAGACCTGGTGACAACGCACCTGAACAGGTGATGGGGCCCCTTCCAGCCCTTTTGGTAGCCCTGCTTTGTCCTGGCTGGGTGGAGAGGCTGAGCTGTGGCACAGATGGTCATGCTGGGCTTTTGTCCCTCCCATGTCACACCTGGGCTATTCTCGTCAGTTTGGAGTGTGCAGAGAGGTGCTCAGGGAGGCACCATGAATCACAGAATCTCTGAGGTTGGAAAAGATCTCTGAGGCCATCGAGTCCAACCCATGCCCAATGCCCACCTTGTCACACAGCCCAGAGCACTGAGTGCCACCTCCAGGGCTGGGGACTCCACCATCTCCCTGGCAGCAATTCCAGTCCCTGAGAAGCCTTTCCATAAAGAAATTCCTCCTGATGTCCACGAGTGTTTGTCCCCAAGGCTTCCCCTGATTGTGGCTCTTTGCTCCCGCAGCTTCCGGCTGCTCCAGCCCACGGCCAACATCCCTGCAGCGTTCCTGGAGGACAAGGAGAAGCTGCTGGCCCGGACCATGGCCATTGTGGAGCTGGCCAGCGAGACGTGGCTGGTGACCGGCCGGCACCCCGTGCCCATCGTCACGGCGGCGGCGTTCCTGGCCTGGCAGTCTCTGCAGCCCGGCCCGCGCCTCTCCTGCCCCTTGGCTCGGTTCTGCCGCCTGGCAGGGGTGGATCTGCCCCCGCCAGCCCACCTGAGGCTGAAGGAGCTGCTGGAGATCCTGCTGGGAATGGCCTCCCAGCTCTCCTGGCTGCGTGGCTTCAACCTGGACAGGAAAACGGTGGTGAAGCACATCGGGGACCTGCTGCAGCACCGCGTGTTCCTGCTGAAAAACGCCTTCAGCCAGCACGGGGAGGAGCTGCAGGACACGGCCCCGGGCCAGGGCTCTGTGGGCTCGGGCTCCCCAGATAAGGATTGCGTGGATAAGGACTCCCTGGATAAGGGCTCCCCAGGCCAGGACACCCCAGGCCAGGGCTCTCTAGGCCCAGATTCCCTGGATAAGGACTCCCTGGAAAAAGACTCCCTGGATAGGGACTCCCCAGATAAGGTCTCCCCAGGCCAGGGCTCTGTGGGCCCAGGCTCCCTGGATAAGGACTCCTCAGGTAAGGACTCCCTGGATAAGGATAAGGACTCCCTGGATAAAGATTCTCTGGATAAGGGCTCCCCAGGCCAGGACACCCCAGGCCAGGGCTCTCTAGGTCCAGATTCCCTGGATAAGGACTCCCTGGATAAAGACTCCCTGGAAAAAGACTCCCTGAATAGGGACTCCCCAGATAAGGGATCCCCAGGCCAGGTCTCCCCAGGCCAGGGCTCTGTGGGCCCAGGCTCCCTGGATAAGGACTCCTCAGGTAAGGACTCCCTGGATAAGGATAAGGACTCCCTGGATAAAGATTCTCTGGATAAGGGCTCCCCAGGCCAGGGCTCCCCCAGCTCTCCTCCAGGGACACAGCAGCAGGGCCGTTCCTGGGCAGGGAAGGGCCAGCGTGGGGGCACCCTGAGGCCCCTGCTCCCTCCCTGCCTCATCCACCCCAGGAAGAGGCTGCGTCCATCAGCTCCGAGCGCTCCGGCCGTGGCCCCCACGGGCGACGAGCCCATCTCGGACAGCGAGATCGAGCAGTACCTGCGGAGCCCCGAGGAGATCCGTGCCCTCAGCAAGGCCAGGGCCTGGCTCTGAGGGCGGCCGTGGCCTACAGGACTTCCAGGGACATTTTGGGACCAAAAGTGTGAAGCTCACCAGGCACAGAGTGGTAGTGCTGCAGAGACGCCCAGGGAATGAGGGCTGGGTCCTCCTTGATGTGCTGGACCAAAATGGGGTTTTCTATGATGGAGAGACTGCTTCAGGTCATGGTACTTTTCTGTTACAAATAAATAAAAGTGCAGGTGCCAGGTTTTCCAGGGAAGCCTCACTTTGGACTTCTCATTCTTCAGCAGAATGACTGTGAGGGTCAAAAAACTTCAGGCCAGGCTGTATTTGAACATGAAGTCTGAGAGAAATAATAGTAGATCTTGGCAGATTGGCATATCTTTAATATATTAAACAAAACATATCTGCTAGAAACATTCTATTCATATAAAAATGCAAAAAGACCCCTTTAAAGACATTTCTTTGGCATATTTCCCTCCCCCCAGATATTGCAGGAAGCTCTGTTGATATGTCATTCGCTTGTAAACAGACAAAGTGTAATTAAGAATACAAAGCTTTTTCTCTAATACTGTCACAATGCAGCAAGCAATAGAACCACGAGGCATCAGCCAGGCTGGGAAGGCTGCAGGAGCTGCAGGAAGGGTTTAAACTGTATTAAATACCGGGGACAATGAAATATTTAAAAATGTAACTGGGCAGAGAAGCCGAGGCAGGCAGGGAGTGGCAGGTTAAGCCCAGGGGTGCCCCAGCCCTGTAGGGTGAGTGGTTCCCAGGTGAGACCAATCCCCACTAAGTGCTTTTTCCTCCCCTGGCTTGTGGCCCTGCCAGCCCCACGACCCCTCGGAGGTAGCTGTGTTACTAAATTCTTTTGCAGGCGGGGGAAACTGAGGCAGGGGAGGCTGGAAAGGGCAGGGAAGGCACCAGGCTCCCACCTCCTCCTCTGCTTTGCTGCAGCCTCTCTGCAGCCTGGCTGTTTTATCTGTGTGCTGGGAAAAAAAGGGAAATTATTTTTAATGGGAACAGTAAGTGCTTATCCAGGTTCCAGCCCTCTGGACTGCTCCTCTCACTGTCTGAGGAAGGTCCCCAATTCCTTGGCATTATTCTCTTGCATTCCCAGGAATGGTCCTTGCTCCCCAGAATGGCCTCTGCCTTCCTAAGAGCAAACCTAGGTATTTTCTGAGCTTGAACACCTGGATTAAGGACACAGAGCTGCTCTAGGCCTCTCCCACTTCTTGGTTCTTTGGTGCTTTGGCACAGAGGGTGAGTCCTGGCTCTGGCAGCAGCACAGGTCTGCCAGCCCACCCCATTGCATGGCCTGAGCCTCTGAGGGCCAGGAGCATTTTCTGGCTGTGATTTTAGTGTCTGGAGCCTGTTGTGGCCATTACTTTAGTGTCTGGCATCAAAGCAGTGCAGACAATCACCTCACCTTGGAGCTGAGGCTCCTCTTACCTTGTGCTTGGCTTTGCAATATGGCTTTGGCACCTCGCAGCCCCCAGGGCTGACACGCAGCTAGGAACGCTCCAGGGGAGCAGCTGCTCTCCAGAGGCAGTGTGCTCAGCCTGGGGCCGCGGTGCCTGGACGTGAAGGGCACTTGGAGTGGTCCCTCAGCGGGGATATTGCAGTCGTGGCACGATGGGCCCCAGGGCACAGGGGCAGGGCCCTCGCGTCACCTACGGCTCTGTCTATACATATATACATTCAATAATATAGCTTTGAAAAATAGACATTTCCTCTGTATAATATAAAATAGCATTTAGGATCAATCTCAAGTGACATGCAGGAGTGATTAAAGCACGGCTGCAATTCCGGCACCATGGCGGGAAGCTCGGAGCCTCCTCGGGGAGATGGGCAGGCCCGGGACCGTGCTGTGCCCGGGGGAGCGGAGCCCCCGGGTGAGCGGAGCCCCCGGCTGTGCCCCATCCATCCATCCATCCATCCATCCCCGCTAGTGCACGTGGTGATGCCGAGCAGCTCCGGCCGCGGCTCCCCCGGGAAAACGCTGCGCCCTTGGTCCTTCCCCACTTTCACACGGTGGTTTCGCTCTTCCAGAGCCCGGTCTTCATGCCGGCCACGCTGTCGGCGCTGGCCAGGTTGATGTCGTACTTGCTGCCCTTGAGGCCGCCGTTGTGGCTGCCCACGTTGAGGGGGTAGGAGCGGCGCTTCGCCTCCCTCTCGGCGCCGCCGCCCGGCCGCAGGTTGTCCCGGCTGCCGCTCCTCCGGCGAGCCTCGGCCAAGTCGGGCCCCCTCCGCCCGCCGTCGCTGCCCTCCGAGGGGCTGGGCACCGCGTCCCCGTCCTGTGCCAGCCGCGGCCCCGCGCGGCCGCCGCTGCCCGGGCTGGTCCTGCCGCTGGGGTAGCTCTCGGAGTGGCTGTTGTGGAGGCTCCCGCTCTCGCTGGACGGCTGCTCCGAGGGGCCCCGCAGCATTTTCAAGCGGTGATGCTTCCCGTCCCGGCACGGCTTAGTTCTGCCCCGGTGGCTCCTGCGGCCGTGCAGGTTGCTGGTGCTGGTGTGCCTGACGGGCTTCCCGTCGGCAGCGTCCGGCTCCGGGCAGGGCGCGGGGCGAGTTTCCACCTGGCTCTGGGCTACCTGCAGGTTGGTGAGCTTGCAGCGGCCCCCGGCAGAGCCGGCGCTGCTGGGCGAGGAGGAGGAGGAGGCGCCGGAGCGAGCGGCCTCTGGCTCGCAGCCGATGAAGACCTGCGAGCCGTCCTCTGTCCCCAGCCCGGGGTGCACGTAGGCCTGCATGGGCAGCGCGTTCCGGTACGACGGGCAGCACGAGAACCAGGAGCTGAGCACGTCCCGGCGCCGGAGGCAGTGGTGGGCGAAGATGAAGAGCCCCAGCGCCACGGCGGTGACGCCGTAGAGGCAGCTGAAGACGATGTTCAGGTACCAGCGCTGGGACACGGCCATGGCGCCGAACGTCCACAGGGCCACGTACAGGGCGTGGGTGGCCACCAGCGCCCAGAACTGCACCCGCAGAGAGTACACACCGTCCCCCTCGGGACAAGGCGGCCCCGAGTTCAGCGTCACCGAGATGGAGCCAGAGTCTGTCAGGAGGTCACTGGTCCCCCCCAGCCGTGGCGGTGGCTCCAGCGGCTCCGGGATGGCTTTCTGGGGCGAGGGTCGGCACTGGAGGCTGAGCCCGGCACAGAGGAAATAAATCCAGGTGACGAGCAGGATGAAAGCCACGGGGACGTAGAAAGCGCCCAGGCTGGGCCGCCACACCAGCCAGCAGCTGTGCGGGAGGAGAGCAGCTCTGAGGGCTGGAGCTGCTCGGCACCCCTGCCCTGATGGCACGGGCTCTGGTGGAGCTGTGCCGGCTGCCTGGACGATTTTTTTCCCCAATATATGGGTAACTCTCAGGAAAAAAACTCACTGATCTTTTCCCAAACTTCTCGAGATTCCCAGTGCCGCCAGTTCCCCTGCCCCAGCAGAGGGAGGCCACTCATGTGGGAGGGAGGGAGGACGGGTGGAGCAGGAGTACTTACTAGGGGTTGTTGTCGTGGTAGTTTTGGATGTTGACAGCTGCTGTGATCCCACAGATGATGAGGGGGATCCCGCCGGCGATCAGGTAGAACCTGCGAGGAGGAGAAGTGTCAGTGCACACCTGGAGCCCGCGGGAGAACACGGGATGGGTTTGTCCAGAAGAACCAGCCTCGCCCCAGCCCCTGGAGATGTCCCCGCGGGGCCGGAGCAGGGGGGTCGGTACCTCAGCATGGGTCTGGGGGCTGCCTGGGACGTGTCCCTGTCCGGCTGCTGTGGCGCCTTCCAGGTCACCTCCTTGTAGAGCACTCGGGCTTTCACGGCCATCCAGAGCAGCGTGGAGAGGGACGAGTAGTGCAAGATGATGCCGACCTGCGGGAGGAGGCCGCGGTTGGGGAGGGGATGCTGCCGGGAGGGGCTGCCGTGCCCCCCGTGCCCGGCCCGCAGGACCCCGCGCTGCCCGGTACCCACGGCCTGGCACACGGCCCGGTAGCCGGTGAGGGTGATGCCTCCCGCGAACACGGCGGCCGTCATGGCGATGTGGAAGCAGAGGTTAAGCAGCATGTGCCAGCCTTTCCGCGGGATGAGGATGGTGCTGCAAGAGCAACAGCGCAGTGGGTACCTGTGAGCTCCTGCCTGGCCCCGACAGAGCCACGGCTCCCTTAGGCACAAATCCTGCACCTGGGGAGGCACCAACAGCCTGTCCCTGGCCATGGGGTGTGGCTGGAGATGTACAGGTGTGTGCCTGCACATGGGCAAAGGAGCAGGACCCAGCGCCACTCGCTGGGCAGCACATTCCTGGAGGGTCACCCCCTGAGAACCCACGTCCTAAACGGCCATGTCACTGCACTGCATTCCCCGTACACCTTCTCCTGGCTGTTGGCACCTGAGGAGCTCCTCCCACTGCCCACAGAATCATCCAGCACAGCCCCCAGATGCTCCCTCACCCGTGGTGGACGATGTAGGTGATGATGGTGGTGAAGAGGCAGAGCAGCAGCACGGCCGTGCAGGTGTACATGGCCGGGTGCAGCACCTCCACAGCGCCTTGTGCCTCGCTGGGGAACCCACTGAGCTCCTGCACGGCACAGCACAGCCCATCAGACCCCACAGCTCCATCCCTGTGCCCCTGACCCCCCCTCCTGCAGCCCCCACGCTCCCCACCCTTGCACTGCTCTCGCCTTGCTGCTCACCCCACACCTACCATGAGCACGGCCACGTTGCTGAGGTGCCGGCAGTGCAGGGAGGTGACATTGGGCTCGCGGGCAGCCAGCTGGCACCCCTCGGTGCTCCAGCCCCCCATACCCCCCAGCACCTCGAAGTTCCAGTAGGCAGCCACGGGGTCCGTGCCCTCCCCGGGGTGTCGCAGGGACACGGCCACCGGCTCTGACAGGTTCCCCACTCCACAGCCATCTGCAGCCACAGAGAAACCTGGTCAGCAGGACAAGTGACACCTCTCCACCTGCACCCCCAGAGGGGCTGGACCCAGGGGACCCTGCACATCCCAGAGGCACATTGCCATCTCCCCCCGAGGATCCCAGGGACACCAGCACAATGCCCCAGGGAGCCCCATGGGGCAGCCCAAGCACCCCGCCATGCTGCCCTTACAGGTCCCGGCGTAGATGACTGGGGTGGCCACGCTGCGGCGTTTGCCATCGTCGGCCAGGCGGGAGGAGTTCCCGGTGCTGCAGAAGAGTTTCCCGTTGCGGAACACCAGCAGCTGGAGCTTGCAGTCGGCTCCCGGCGTGGCTGGGGCGGGGCTGGCGAACAGGCTGGGGGGCAGCTGGATGGAGGCCAGGGCGATGCTGTTCTGCGGGTGCACGGTCACTGGTGAGCAGGGCCCGACCCCCAGCCCCCGACCCCCGGCACTGCCGTACCTTGATGTGGAAGCTGCTCAGGGAGATGTTGGGGCGCCCGGTGGTGCAGCGCAGCCTGAGCTGCTGGTCGGGCGTGGGCTCGGCCCCCCGCTCGGCCTGGGGGGATCGTCCTGGGGGGGCCCCATCCCAGCGCTGGAACGCCACACAGCTCAGCCCCACGTAGCTCTCGGGCTTCACCACGTACGCCTCGAAGGCGATGTTGCGAGAGTTCTGCCAGCATCACGGAGGAATCATCAGCCCTGGCACGGGCAGACACCCCCCTGGCATAGCCAGAGACCCCAGCAGCCCACCCACCCCTCCTCCCCATATCCAGCCCCAGCCCGTGTTCCCCTCACCACTGCCATGTGCTGGGAGTTGCTGCCCAGAGTGTGGGCTGCGATCTTCTCCAGGGAGCGCACGATGCTGGTGCAGGCCTTCTCCTCCTTCTGGGACATCCACAGGATGTGGTCGTCCACCAGCATGATGTTGCTGGCCATCTCCACTATCACATCTGTCAGCTGGGGACAGCAAGCAGCTCTGCAAAGAGCTTCTGCCGTCCCCCGTGGAAACACCCCAATTCATGCTTTTCCACCCCAAAAGCACCAGGCTGCACTGGGGCAGGCAGGGGACACCTGCAGTGCTCATTACCTGCTTAATCTGGTCCACGTAGCCGATAAACTTCTCTATCATCTGTGCCACATAGAGGACATCAACCATGTCCGAGAAGTTGGCTGCCTCGGCCGTGTAGACGCGGAGCTGGTGAGCCAGGGTCAGGGCGTTGGAGGCGTTGATGGGCATCTGCAGGGCAGATTGATGGGCACGGCCAAGGCGGGGCCACGGTCACCAGGTGCGCCCCAGCGGCCCAGCCGAGCCCCCGGGCCCCCCACTCACCAGCACGAAGGTGTAGAGCACGCGGGTGATGTCGTTGGTGTAGAGGCAGTGCGAGTAGTCGCCGTCCTCCCAGCGCCCGGTGCGGTCACAGCGCCGCCACGCCTGCTTCTCTCCCGCCGAGCCCACGCCCGCCGGCCCGGCGGCGAACGGGTGCTGCAGGCAGGGCTGGTAGGCCGTGATCCCTGCCAGGGTGCGGGGCCACCTGCGGGACCCGCACTCGGTGACCCCGCCCCGAGCCAGATCCCCCCGTGCGGCCCCTGCGCAGCTCCACCCGCGGGCACCGCAGCCCCTTCTGCAAACCCCGGGCTCTGGGAAGGATGGGGTGATGCTCCCCCCAAATCCCCACGCTCTGCAGTCCCGTATCCCGCTCGGCTCCGGCAGCGAGGGGGAAGCAGCGGGCAGTGGGGGGGGGCACCGCTAATTTAAGCCACATTTACTGTGCCAGTAATTTATATTCCGTAAGGGCCCCGCCGGGGTTACGGCGGGCGCCCGGAGCCTTTCGTCTCGTGCCAGAGAAATTCCAACACCTCTGCTGCTGGAGCCAGGCTGCGCCGCCGGCACGGGAAGCCCTTCAAAAGCGCCCGCGCTCCCCGCGGCCCTTAATCGCTACCAGACCCGCGGTCACCTGCGGCGAGCAGAGGCCCCGCACGCACCGCTCGCTCTCCGTGTGGCACCGGCCACGTGTGTCCCCCCCCTGCCGCGGCACCTGCGCCACCGCGGTCCCCACCTGAAGTCCCCGCGGTTGTTGGTGACCCGCTCGGCAGGGCAGTAGGACGCAGAGGTCTCCAGCACCACGATCTCCACCTTCTTGCTGACGTTACCCTGGGAGGTGGAGACGGCGCATTCCCACTCGCCGTTGGCGGAGACGTGGATGTTGGAGAGGATGAGCTCGCTGTGGGCACAGGACAGGGGCTGGCACGGCGGGGCTACCCCATAGCGATCCCCCAAGCTTGGGGACATGGGGACACACGCCACAAAGCACCAAAGGTGCCCACACTCGGCAGCCCACCCACGGCACTTGGTATGCACAAACCTATGAGTCCTGTGGCTACGAGTGGTCGTCCCCATCCCCATCCCATCCCTATCTCTGTCCCCATCTCAATCCCAATTCCTTCTCTATCCCATCCTCATTCCCATCCCGGTCCCCATCCCTGACCTGGTGATGAAGGTGCAGTCATGGATGAGGCTCTCCTCCACGATGACGCCGGTCTGCTCATCCTCCTGCACTGGCTCGCGGTTGTGGAACCAGCGGATCTGGGTGCTGTTGTCCAGGTACGTGGCCGTGCACTGGAAGGGCAGCCGGTCGCCCTGGAAAACCACCTGGCGCAGCGACGGGATGAGGTGGTGGGTGTGCAGCTCCGGGGCTCCCGCTGCGGGGGACACAGGTGAGCCCGCGCCGCCGCCGCCGCCGCCGCCCCCGCCCCGGCCCCGGCTCACCGCAGCGGAGCTGCCCGTCCCGCGCCCCTCGCAGGGCGATGCCGCGCAGCTGCCGGGGGAACGCGCACGCCGTCCGCTCCGAGATCTGCGCCGGCCGCTCGCGGGCCCAGCGCAGCACCCAGCGCAGGTTGCAGTCGCACGTCAGGTACTCGGTGGCAAAGTCCCTGCAAGGGATGGGGTCACGGGGCACCCGCAGGGTTCGGGCACCCGCCAGCCCTGAGGCCCTCGGCAGGGCCCCCCCCCACCGTGCGTTGAAATCCCAGGGCACCAACTCACACGACTTTCAGGGAGGGGAGCTCGTCAAAAACACCGGGCGGGAGGCTGGAGAAGATGTTTCCGGACATGTTCCTGCGGGACAGAAGAGAAAGATGGCACGGAGGAAGCCAGGGAGCAGCTGGGAGAGGGGACACATCCCAGGCCCCTTGCTGTGCCCTCACACCCCTCGTTCTCAGGAGAGCGGGGACACGGCTGGCCAGGATGTCCTCTAGGGAGCCACTTACAGTCGGAGGAGGCTGGGGAGCCCCTGGAAGACGCTGGCACTCAGGCAGCCGATGCGGTTGTTGGAGAGGTCCCTGCAAGGTGAGTGGAGGGGCCATCAGGGCTGGGGATGCCCCAGTGTCCCCTCTGTTGTCCCCAGGGCCAGCCCCGGGTGGTCCAAGGGACTGCACCGGCACTTACAGCCGCTTCAGCTCGGGGAGGCCGAGGAAGGCGCCTGGCTGGACTGTGCTGATCAGGTTGTTCTTCAGGTCCCTGCGGGGAGACAGACACGGATCTTGGGGTGTGCTGTGGGAGCCCCGTCCCCAGGAGACACAGCACAGGGGGCACGAGCACACCCGTTCCAGCCCCCATCCCCTTCCTTGGCCCCCCAGGCGCTGCCAACCCCTGCTCATTAGCAGCTTTCCACCCCATTTCTCTCTCGTTATCTCTCCGAGGGATGCAGGGAAGGCGCGAGGCTCCCCGCGGCTCCAGGGGGGATGCCAGCCCTGGGCACACTCTGGGTGCCCTGCGGAGCATCGAGAGTCCCTGCCCGCTGGCACCGGCCCCGCATTGCTTCCGGAGCAGCCGTGTCCCGGCGGGTTATCTCCTGTGTGCGGGATAAGAACACGGCCCCGGACGGGCTCTGCGGCCCTCGGGAAGCTCGTCAGAGCAATTAGCCTGATTGCGGGCGCACATCTAATCGGGCTCGCCTGGCACACACGGCGCGGGGCCGCTGCCGGCAGGGTGGACAGCACTGGTGACATCGGCCGCTCTGCCCAGCCCCTGGCACCCGCGGCAACTTCTGCTGAGCACCGGCCGTGTCCGGGAGAGGAAATGGAATCCATATGGACCCGTGTTTATTTATAGCAGTCTCCGCGGAGCTCGTCGCTGGGTCTCTCGCTGCTCTGCCTGCGGCCCTGGGGACACCCCGGGAGCCACAGCCCCGTCGGAGGGGCACAAAACAGCGGCGGGGATGGGGAGCGGTGCAACCCCTTCCAGCAGACCCGGGCTGAGGGGGGGAGTCCCTCAGGAGAGACGAGAGGGGCCCCTCCGGCAGAGGAAACGCAGCCGGCGTCATCCCGGCCCTTCCCGGCTGATGCAACAGCGCTGCCCGCGCCTGCCTCTCCCGGTGTTACTGACGGACAAACGCCCGCCCTGGAGCTGTCACGGCCGGCGGAGCAGGCAGGTGTGCGGGCAGGTGTGCACAGGTGAGCGCTGGTGCTGAAGGAACAGCTCCGCTCACCTGCACCGGCAGCAGCACCAGCGGGAGTCCCAGTGCCGACACCCCCCCACACCCGTCCTGCCAACCCCTGGTTCGTGCCCAGGGACACCAGCGCTGCCGGCCCCTGGCCAGCTGCGTTTCCCAGGGACTCCCACCCCCCAGAACACCCCCAGCACACCCTGCCAGCCAAAACACATCCGGTGACAAAACTTGAGGCTCCTGGCTCAGGTCAGGGGGGTTTGGGTGCTGCAGGGACCACCAGCCCGGGATGGGACCCACCAGGGACCGCGCTGGGCCCCAGGGATTTGCAGCCATCCTGGCGCTTGGCCAGAGCAGCCTTCCTCACTCAGGCACTTCCTCCCGCGGGCCAGGGCCGGGGCTGCTGCTGCTGATTTCCGATAAGGCTCCTCTCTTTTTCTCTGCTCTGCGCATTTGCCTTTGCATTTCCTGCGGTCCCGAGCCCCCTCCTCCCCCAGCCCCGGCGGGGGGACGCTGCAGGCATGAGAGCCAGCAGTGGCTCAGTGCCACGTGTGCATGGGGACCCCAATCACCAGGAGTGCACAGAGACCCCCAAGGCAAACCCTGGTCCCAAGGACCTGAGCCATCCTGATCACTGCCCGGAGCACGCTGGGGTGAGCCCACAACTCCCTGGGCACCCGCTGCAGCCCAGCACAGACAGACGGACGGACAGAGTCCGTCCTTGTCCCTGCTGTCACCCACCGAGCCCCCTCGCATCCCCCCCGGGCCGTTCCCAAGCGGGGCTCTGCTAATGAGCGCTCGCGGCCGCCGCCGCATACCGTCCCCGCTCAGACTCATTAATCTCATTACGCCGCCACAAATCACTGGAGATGCCAAGCCAGAGGGGAGGTGGTCCGTGGGGGCACCCCTGACATCCAGGGAAAGGGTTCTCCCCATTGTGCTGGGACCCCAAAGCACCCACGCTGGGTAGCCAGGATGGGCGGGGGCCTTGCCAGCGCCAGGGTGGGAAGCGAGGGGCCCCGCAGCCCCCACGGCGTCCCCGCCATGGCAGCACGGGCTCTCCATGGGGCACGTCTGCGCCACGGCCCCAAAGCGACCCGATGAAAACAATTATGGCTCCTGTCGAGGGCAATCAGGCGCGGCGCAGCGCGATGCGGCCGGCCGGGCTGGGGGAGTGCTGCCCACCCGCCCCAGGCCCCCTCTGACCCCGTGCTGAGCAGGAGGTGACCTGGGCCAGCTCCTCTCCCAGGATACGGAGACCTTTAGGGGCACCCCAGGCACATGGGGGCTGAAGAGCCGTGGTCCTCCCCAGGTGTGGCCCCCCGGCTGCTCCAGGACTCCTTCCCCGTGTCCCACGATCCCTCCCGTTCACGAGGGTGCAGTGCCAGGAGCAGGAGGTGACCCCACGCCTTGACCCACGCTGGGGAGGACTTAGCTACGTGGGATGGTGTCCCCAAGGTGACTGCTTTTCACTCACCCCAAAAACAGTCCCGTGGGGATTTCCACGGGAACCTGCACAGCGCAGGAACGTGCGAGACCCTCGCAGGGCCACGGTGGGGAACAAAACACCCTCAGTGCCGGTCCCCGTGCCTGCATACCTACAGATCAAACCCATATGGGGGCCATAAATCTCCCCTTCTCGCAGCTCCCTCCATAGAGATGCCTTTCATGGAGAGATAAGAAAGTTGACTTTGTTCGGGGGGACAATGTCGCTTTTCATACCGGCCCTCACGGAGCGCGGCCCCCCCGGCGCCTCCCGCCCCACTGCAGCTCCCGGGGTCCCTGGGATGCCCGTGGGTGCCAGTGGCAAATTCTGCGCTGCAGTGCTGGTCCTGCTGCAGCACATCAGGAGCAGAATGCGAATGATGGCGCTACCACCCACCACGGAACCTGCATTCCACTGCCCGACCGCCACTCACAGCTTCTCCAGAGCCCGCAGCCCGAAGAAGGAGCCGTTCTCCAGCACCGTGATCTTGTTGTTGCTCAGCAGCCTGTGGGAAGAGCAGAGGGAGAGGGGCAGCCCCGTTACCTCACCTGCCCCAGACCCCCAGCCATGCCCTGGTGTCCCAGGAGCTGGTGGGGAGTGAGGACAGTCAGAGCCCCCCCAAGGAGCCGCGGCCTCGGCTGTGCCACTGTGCTGGTGGCCACGGACAACTCCAGGGACAGGCGTGATGGCCAGGTGGGAGCACGGACTGCAATGGCCGTGCTGGGATGCTCTGCATGGTCCACATGCCATGGACCTTGCGGCGTGACGGGAGTGGACAGAGGGCACCAGCACCCGGCAATTCAGCCAGGAGCTCATGAAAGCTCGTCAGCGCAATTAGCACAGCCAGACCCGGCTCTCGGGGAGCAGCGTTGGCTCCCCGGAACTCCCGTGCGGCCGCGTGGGCACCGGCGACACCAGGGCCGGCAAAGCGACCCCGAGACGGAGCGGAGGCAGCCGGGCCAGGAGGGCATCCTGGAGCCCCGGCCGGGGGGAGCCGGGGAAAAAAGGGCTCATTGAGGGCCGGGCCGGGCTGTTTACACACGGGCGGGCCCGGCTGAATGGCCGCTGTGTGCTGAGCGCTGCAGCCCGGCCACGCTCGGCTCGGGCAGGAGCGGCCCCGCAGCCCCCGCGGGCTGGCCGGGAGGGAAGCGCCGGGCTCTGGCAGCGCAGCCCCCGCATCCTGTGCTAATGAGGAGCCGCCACCGGGCACCGGCGCGTCCGCGGGGCCCTCGACCCGGCCGGCGGGGAGCGGAAACGTCCGGCGGCCCCGACAGCTGCAAATTGCTTCCACACGCCGGCGGCCGGAGCCGCCACGGCCGGGGCCGTGCCTGGCCCTCTCCTCCCCGCCCGGACCACTCTTTGCCAGGGCCCGGCTCACCCCAGCAGCGAGCAGCGGGGCTGGCTCAGCCCAGGACCCTTCCCAGAGCAAGGGGCAGCGTCCGGGGATGTTTCCATCGCTCCTGGCGCGCCCAATTCCCCGCCACGGCATCGGTGGGGGCTGTTGCTCAAGGCCGTGCTGTCCCCAAGGGCTCCAAGAGTTTTTCATTCCAGCCGCAGGAGATTTCACAAGCGAAGGCACGGGCTGTGCGGGGGAATGCAGCCATGGCCATGGCGTGGTGGCAGAACCGGAGCACCGGACCCGCACCCTACCGGGAACGCAGCCCTCGGCTGAGCCCCGGGCATGCTCGCTCAGACCCCCGGGACCATCTGCACCTCTGCCATAACGCCACAGCTCCGGCCTTAAAAGGCAACGCTCCTGGCTCCCAGCAGCACCGGCTGCCCCTGGGATCTGCAGCCAGGGACGCCCCACCCGGCCGAGGGCAGAGCCACCCCCGGAGCCCCTCCAGGAAAAGGCCGGGACCCCCGCACGGCTCAGGGCACCCCGAGCTGCAGGTGCTGCCCAGGTCTGTCCTTTCTCAAGGAGAAGAGATCCTTGACTCAAAGGAGGGGTTGGCACAAAAAGGTTATGCTGACAGCCACAGTTTGTCCAAAACTTTTTTCCCCAGTAAAACTTTTCCTGGTAGGGATCCTGGCTCTTTTCTTCCCTGTCCCACCGAAGCCATCTGGGTCGCACTCCCCAGTCACAGCCCACATCCTCCAACACGGGTTTGTTTTGTTTTCTCTAGTTTCATGGATATTATGTTCCAAATTGTTTTCTGTTTGGGTTTTTGGGTTGGCCTTTTTTTTGTTGTTTTTTTTTTTTTTTTCCCCAGGAAGTTCTCATCAGGCTCCACGGCACTTTCCATTCCCACATGTCCACAGGCAGCAGAGCCGTGTGTGGGTCCTTGGCACTGTCCCCTTACAGGATATCAACTGACAAGCCCCAAATGCAACGGGATCTTTGTGCCCACGAGGCCACCCCGACCCAGCCCACAGGGGTCACGGGCCAGCAGCCCCTGAGCCACACTGGGGGCCCAGCTGTCGGCATGTGGGGATGGGCCCAGAGCCCCCCATGAGTTTAAAACGCTGAGAGCTGCCCCTGGGAGGAGGGATCAGCTGGGGGGGAAGGGGGCGCAGGGCTGGGAGCCAACCCACTGCCCCCGGCTCAGCGAGGCCAGGCGGCTGTCGCTGGGCTGGGGGATCCAGGCAGGGGTTCCCAAATGCTCACTGGGGGTGCAGAGGGGACCCGGTGCCCTCCATCCTCCCCATCTACAGGCTTGGCAGGCCATGGAAACAGAGCCGTGGCCTTTGGAGCTGTTGCTCATCTCCAGCTCAGGCTGGGACCCCTCATCCCAGCAAGAGCCCAGTCCTGGAGCCGTGAGCTGGGGGGGAGGGCTGGGGACCCCTCTCACCCCCAGGCCGCGGTGCCCGTGCCCTCCAGACTCCTCCCACCCAAAACGGCACCTTCATCCTGCCCGCTGCCCCGAGACCCTCGGGCGCGGAGCGTGGGCGGGCGGGGGGCTCCTGCCGGGGCCAGCCCCGCCACGGGGACAATAATCGGCTAATTGAGCGGTGGCTGGAAAAGTCCCTCAGGACAATGCGGGGATTAAGGACTGGAGCATGGAGTCAAACGGAAACGATGGGGGATGCGTGGTGGGGACGGCGGGGGGAGCCCCAAGGAGCATCCTCCCATCCCGGGGGATCCAGGGCTGCAGCATCCGTGCTCCAACCCCCCCCGCGCCAGGGCCGTGGGGGCTTGGAGCCCGCGAGGCTGCCGGCACAGAGATACAGATCCCTTCTTCTCTTTTTTCATCTCAAAAAGAGGAGCCAAAAGTGAAAAAAACAAGATTGTTTTTTCAAGCGTGCTGGAATCCACTTGGATAAATAACAGCTCCAGAAACTGGGCTGCTGAAACAATAAACTTCCTCTGGACCCAACCAAAAAAGGACGCGGGGAGACGGTGGCTCCCCAGCCCGGGCAGCGGCGCGGGGGTTCCTGGGGGGCCGCGCTGGGGGCGGGGACCGGCCCGGCTCTGCTCTCCAAGTGCAGTAATTCAAAGCATATGCCGGGAGCAGATACGGCACAGGCTGCGCCCCGAGCACGGCTCGCTGCTCTGCACAGGGATTTCGGCAAGAGAAAAGAGGGGCCCCGGGGCTGCTGAGAGGTGCTGAAGGCTCCGGCAGTGAGAAAGGTTCTGGGGGAGGCAGTACCACAGGGGGGGCACGCAGCATCCCAGAGGGACCCCAGAGCATCCCAGGGGGGCTCTGCCGCATCCCAGAGGGGCCCACAACATCCCAGAGGAACCCCACATTCCAGCAGGGACCCCACAGCTCCCAGAAGGAACCCTGCATTCCAGAGGGGACCCCAGAGCATCCCAGAGGGACCCCACATCTTCCAACCCAGTGGGGCTGGAGAGCCCCAGACCTGGGGGATCCTCCCCTCCCTGCTTTGTTTGGGTGTTCGGGGGCTCTTCCCCTCCCTGTGCCGTGCCCGGGCGTTTCCTCCAGCCTCACGTCACGCCGGGCTATTTTGGATGGTGAAAATTATTGTTCCAACCCTCGGCTTTTGTTAGCACAGGAAAAATAAGCCCCGGAGAGAGGGCGAAGCCTCCAGAGCCAGCCTGGGCCGGGATGCTCCGACACACCGGGCAGCACCACGACCTGCAGCCCCTGGAAAAGCCAAACCTGATGGAGCTGCAGCCCAATAAACAACAAATAAAAAGCTGAAGAAGGCTTGAGAAAGAAACCATCTGCAGGGCCCAGGATAGAGCGGCCTTGGAGCGGGGAGTTCAAGTAGAACTGGAAATTGGTCATAAGTCAAAGCCCTCTATTCCCTGCAGACAATCTGTAATTTCAGTGCAATCAAGCTGTGCACATAAATGAGGCCTGTGCTGGGATTCCACATCTGGAAGAGGTTTGGGCTCCCGCCCGTGTGACAGCGGGGCTGGCCCAGCCTCTCCAGCCCTCGTTAGGGATACGGCGCTTTTTCCATCGGCCGATTAGCACAGGGCTCAGCTGGGGGGGATTAAAGCCTTGTTAATCCCTGTCTGCAGCACCCCAGCACCTCACAGCCACGCTGGAGGGACGGCCCCCAGAGGTGCCAAATCCCCTGGTCCTAACTGGAGCAGGATGCGGGGCTGGGGCCGCGCTGTGCCCAGGCTGCTCCGGGGCCACGAGTCAGTGAGGTGACAACCCAATGTGCCAAGGCTGGCACCCCTCCTTCCTCCCTGCAGGGAGCTGGGCACAGCAATAACCTGGATATAAACAGGGGTGGGTGGTGGAAAGCACACTCTGAGAAATGTCTGCTGGGGCTGTAGGGGATGTGTGAGCATCACCCCCCAGACCCACAGCCATCCCTGGAGATCTCTGCGAGGGCACGAGGGCAGCTCTGTTCAGCAGACACTCGCCATCAGACACCGACACGTCCCCTGGGACACTGGGACCATGGCCGAGCCCAGCAGTGGCTGCAGGGCAGGTCCCTGGGGTCGCAGGCGTCCCTCACCCTTTGTCCTTTGTCCCTCATCCCTGCCCTGCCCGCCCAGGGGCGATGCCAGCGCGCGTTTCCAGGCGCGGGGGGTAAATGAGCAGCAGCTGCTGCGGAGCCAGCGCAGGATTCCTCAGCACAGGCCTAATAATTAAAGATAAATAAAGCGAGACTGTGGGAAAAAGCCAAATGAGAGGCGGGATGAGGGACCCACAGGGTGACAGAGCCCCTCCAGCCTCTCTGGCCGCCCGCCTGTCCCCGGCCACTGCCTGGACAGCCGGAGCTGCGGCCGGGCCAGGGTCCCTCCCGCGCTGGCGGCTGCTGGGAAGAGCCTCCCCCGTGCTGAGCACTCCCGATTCCAGGCTGGACCGGATGAGCGCTGGAACACGGCTCTGCTTTGAAGCGTTACTGCCCCAAACACATTTCCTGCAGCAGGGGCAGGAGCGGTGCTGAGCACGCTGGGGGACAGAGGGGACCTGGCACCCTGGGACACGTGCAGGAGCCCGGCTCAGACCCAGCTCACCCGCGGAATTCAAGACTTGGCTGTCCCCAGCAGGATGTCCCCAAGGCACGCGCAGCCCTCACCACATGCCTGGGCCCCTCCACTCCCTGCCCGCACCCCAGTGGCTCCAGGAGACGCTCCCAAAGTCGGAGCCTCTGGTTTTGATTGTTCCATCTGGAAAGGGTTTGGAATAAATCATGTTTACTGCACGAGAGCAGAGCCAGGGTCACCGCATATTTGTAGGTTTCTGCCTACGCCTGTAGGTTTCATGTCACGTTTTAGTGGGATCGTGTAATGCCCTAATGCTTCTGCACGGTCATCCCGGCCCCTGCAAGGGAGCCTCAGCACAGGCAGCACAAACCCTGGGAACAGCTGGGGAGGGCACTGGAGCAGGCCTGGGCTTGGGATGGGATGCTTTTCCCAAACACAAACTGACAAAGGACTAAACGTCCCCATGAGTGTTTGCGAGGGGCTGACACACAAGGAAGGGCCATAAGAGGAAAGATAAGAAGAGCAAAGCTCACAAGCATGATGGAGAGCCCAGCTGTCACCTGCCTGAGGCCCCCAGTGTCCCCCACCGAGGGAAGCCCAGGACACCCACCAGTGCTGCTGTTCTGGGACAATTTGTGCCTTTAACGTGGCTGTTGCACTCAGCCCCTGCTCATGGCACCGTCCTGTAGCTCCGGCGCGTTCGTGGCCACACTCCACACGGGGACAGCGGGGACAGCGGGGTCACCTTCGCTGCCACCATCACCCCAAAGCGAGGATCCCGTGCAGCGAGTGGCACCCGGGAAATCAGAGCGATGGCAACACGACCCAGGGGTTCGGAAGTGTGAGAGCAGCCGCCAAACCCAATCCTCTGCAGCCCCCAAACCCAAGGCACCCGAGGAGGGCGAGGTGGGAGCCCTGACCGTGGCCGCGCTGACACGGACAGGCAGCACAGCCACCCTGACGGGACAACGCTCCGGGGGAAAGCGGCGCTCTCTCAGCTGCAGTGCTGCCAGCCCTGCTTCCAATCCAGATTTTAATTCAAACATCTCCTCTGGAGTTATAAATAAACCCTGCAGCGAGCAGCACACGGCTGCCAGCTCCAGCCGAACCCCAGCCCCCGGCACGGGGGCCGCGAGGAAGAGGAGCCTTTACGGAGCAGCTTTAGAACCTCTGCACAAACCCCTAACCCATCAACCGCTCCTGATCGCTGCTCAGTAAATATTTCCAGGGACAGCAGTCACTTTCAAACAAAAACATGTTCCCCGGCACGCAGAAACGCTGCGGAGGGAAGCAGGAGAAAGAAGAGCTCGTTTCCTGGATTTCCAGCTCACGTCCTCACCAGCCCCGCTCTGCCGCCGCGGCGGGGTCCCCTCGGCAGCCCAGAGCCACGACACCCCTTTACCGCGATTTAAACCACGCTACACAGCACCGAGCGCCGCTTTCGCTGCTGCAGAGCCGCTTATTGAGAGAAAAAAAAAGTAACTTCACTGCGCTCCCGACCGCACGGGGCTTCACGCCCGGTCCCCGTGTCCCCGTGTCCCCGTGTCCCCGGTTCCCGAGTCCCCGCCAGCATCTGCCCGGCACGGGACGGTGCAGGGAGCCCCCGGCGAGCAGCTCCGGCACGGAGAGGGCTCAGCGCGACCCACGCGTGGGCTCCCGTCCCGCTCAGGGCAGCAGCGGTGCGGCGCCGCGGGGCAAAGCCGGGCCGGAGGGAGATGCCCGGGGGAGATGCCGGGGGCAAGGGGGGGATGCCCGGGACCGGGTGCCATGCCCGGGACGCTGCCGGTCGCGGTACTCACAGCGTGACGGTGCCCTCGGGCAGCAGGCGCGGCTCGGGCGGCGCGGGGAGCCCCCCGCCGCTGCAGACCACCCTCCGCCGGGGCGCGCCGGGGCCGCCGCCCGCCTTGGCCCGCTCGGCCGCGCACTTGCAGCCCAGGCTGAGCGCGGGGCAGCTCCGCGCACCGGCCCCGGGGCCGCTCAGCGCCGCCGCCAGCAGCACCAGCGCCGCCGCCCGCCGCATGGCCCCGGCCCCGGGCCACGGCTACGGGCTCCGGCTCCGCGCCCGCCGCCGCCCCGCTCCCCGGGGCGGCTCCGGCGGCGCCGCCTCCCCCGCTCGCCGCGCTCCACCGCCGGCCCTGGCACCTCCCCCGGCCCGCCCCGGCCCGCCCCGGCCCCCCCGACGGCACCGGCGAGGAGGAGCGGGGGAGACCCGCACGGAGCAGAGCGGGACACCCGCGGGCAGGAGCCCGAGCCTCGCGGGGTCCCGCAGGACCGAGAGCGGGGGTCCCCACGGACCAGGGCTGGGGCTCTGCGCCCCCCCGGAGGGCTCCGGCTGCTCCCAGCCCGGGGCCGAGCTGGATCCCTGCGTGGCTCAGAGCCCACGCGGTCCATGTGGCCGCCCTGCGGCCCCTGGCTGTGACATCCCGGCTGTGACAGGCACAGGGTGCCGTGTCGAGCTTGGTGACACACACGTGGGCCCAGCAGATCTTCAGCACACGGCAGTGCTGTGGGACCCCGGGACCCCGCGCAGTGCAGGAATTCCCTGCACAAACTCGCACAGGTCACTGTGGTCACGCTGCTGTGTCCCCTCCCAGCCTCCGCTCTGCATTAAACACTCGTCCCCCTTGGCTTTCCTGTTCGCTTCACTGCTTTTCACGCTAAGTTCAATATTTTTCTTCCCTCTTCCCCCTCCCACGTCCCCGCTGCCTCTCTCCTGACTCCAGCCCTCTCCTCCACCCGGGGCTCGGCTTCTCCGAGGCCACGGCTGGCTGCAGCATCAAATCAAAAGGGATCAAAAGCCGGCAATGAAGTCTGCAGGACCCCGTGCCAGGGAGCGGAGGAAAAGGGTCATGGAAGGACTACAAGACGACGCTGGGAATGCGGTTTCTCTCCAGGACCAATAGTTCCTGGAGGGGAAAAGAAATTTGCTCCTCTGTCCAAATAAATACAGCGTGGAACGACACTGCTCCAGGAGCGAGTCCTGGCACAGGACAGCCCCGGCTCAGGGAGCCTCTGGAGGAGGGTCTCAGGGACAGGGTGGGATTGTCCGGGAGTTGTCCTGTGCAGCACCAAGAGTTGGGCTCAATGATCCTTGTGGGTCCCTTCCAGCTCAAAATATTCTTTGATTCTGTGCTGATCCCAAATCCTGCAGCTGAAGCTGGAAGAGCAACAGGAAACTGCTCGTGTCCAGTATCCGCTCTGAGATCCTGCGAGCACCAGCACAGCAGGGAAACCTCCCAAGCACCCCCATGGTGAGCAGGGCCTCTGCTTTCAGCACTGCAGAGAGCAGGAGTGGGGCTCCTTCCCTCTTACAGAGGGGATGAGGCTCCCAGCTGGAGCCTGCTGCTCTCGCTGGGCATTCCCACCAGGGGCAGGAGATTCCTTGTCTCAGGCACTCACAACACACCCAGCACAGCACCACAGGGACACCCTGAATCACCTCAGGGTTCCGGGCTCAGCCACCTCCTTTGACTGGATGAACCCCAAATTAAGAAATCTGCGTCTCCAGGAGCTCCAGTACCAGCACTGGAATTGCATCCATGACACTGAAGCAGCCAAAGCGCTGTGCCTGCTCTTCAGAATTTCAGTCTCTAAATTCCCTCCAAGAACAGTGAGAACCTTGTCCAAACCGAGACGTGTGGAATACCCTGCCCCAGCCCCTCTTGGAGGAGAGGAGCTCAAGCAACACTTTCCACATGCTTTGAGCCTGAGAGTCCAGGTTCTTTCAACTGCTTCCAAGCCCCTCTCCATGCTTTTCCAGCCCCGACCCCTCCTGATGCCTCCGGCCCAGGAGACAAGGCAACCCGTTTGAAACTCCATCTCCACAGTGCTGGATGCCAAATCCCTGCGTCCCTCCCTCCCACTCGAAGGTAAAAAACCTCCTTAACTACTGCAGGCACGGGGAAAGACAACAAGCACGAGACTCTCTCAATTCCTTTCACTGGGATCCAATAAAAACCTTGGCAGTGGCCGTCCTTCCTGCCGGAAAGCCGATATCCCAGAAATAAACACACTTTCCACTTTAAAGGGCTGCAGCGCCTGGGCTGAGCTGCTCTGGGTGTCCTGGGCTCCCCACAACACCCGGGAGCAGCAGGGAGCTCACCCACAGCTCCTGATCTCTGCTGCTTTGGCACTGCTGCTTCCCCGAGGATGAGGATGACCCATTTCCCAGGAGCCAGAGAAGGAGCAGCAGCAAATCAGCCCGTCCAGCATCATCAACGAGTTTATTCTTCTTACAATCAACCATGTCTGCATGGTGTGCTCCAAGCCCCCAGGAAGTTTTTCACCATAGAGCATGTGAAGTGCTGAGGCTCTGGGGGCTCAGCCCATCAAGGGACGTGTGGAAACAAGGGTGACCTCAGGGGACTGCTGGCAGTCCTGGAGCCACGCCTTTGCCCCAGAGGGGACGAGGCCTGTGCCATGGGCCACTGGGAGTCAGGAGGGCAGAGGAGTCCCCGTGTCTGCCGGGCGCTTCCTCCAAGGCAAACATTGACAGGGGCGGTTCTGGGTGCGGGGAGCCCGAGCGCTGCCGCCCCCGGGGCTTTCCTGGATGGGAACCAAGGGGGCCGAGGCTCCGTGGCTCATTAGAGGCTGGGGAATCTTTCATCTGCGGCCCGTTGGCTCCACTCCAGCGAGCAGCAGTTCCCATCTGCCGGGTGACCTCTGCCGAGGCAGTGGGTGGCCCGTGCCCCACGTCCCTGACAGGTGTCCGGTGTCACCGGCGCCGCCTTCCCGCACCCGCCCGGGCTCCAGGTGGGCACCTCGGGGGGTGCCCCTGGGCTGTGCCCTCTGCTGCGGCCTCGGGGAGGCTCAGCCACGTGGGAAACGTGGCAAAGGCTTCTGGACACAACGAGAAAAGTGGGTTGGAAGCTCCACGGGTGGGAGAAGCAGCTGCGGAGGAAGGAGCAGAAGCTCCCACAGACCCCGCTCCTCTCCAGAGCATTGTCACAGCCCAGCTCGGATTGTCCCAGCACAGCACCCAGGCTGCTCCTATGGCCACAGAGAGCTGTCCTGGGACATCCCCAGGGCCACCGAGCCGCCCTGCTCTGCCACAGCCCCAGGGCACGGAGCGCAGCAGAGCCAGGGACGAGCCCCGAACGCCTCACAGGGGGTCTGCACCTGAGCAAGGTGGGCACACGGCGATTTTGGGAGCTGGCCCCCGTGCCCGGCCCAGCAGCGCCACCCAGGGGCTCCTCCGGGCACAGCTCGCGACATCCCGGCAGCGACTTTGGGACCTTCCTGATCAAAACCTGCTTCGCTTTCTTTGCCAGCCCCTCTCGGCCGCCTTCACCTCCCTCCGCCCCAGCTCCAAGAGCGGCCCCAGGCTGGGGAAAGAGCTCCAAGGGCGGCTCAGGACATTGATTCACCACGCTGGAACATAAAAATAACATCTTTAATAGCTTTTGAGTTGGCACAGATGGCATCAGAACTCAGCACTGTTTATTACTAGACTATGAACCACACATGGAGCAGCGTGGGGAGGGCGGCTCCGACCCCACGGCGCTTCTAAACCACGGAGCTACAACAGGTTGGTGTTGGAGTTGACTCTTCATTTACATTCAGCTTTTAGAGAGTGAAACCAACAGCGGGATTTAACCACACGCACACAGAGCAAAGCCTGGGGAGGATGTTCCTGCTGGCAGCTGAGCTCTCCTCCTCTCAGCAGACACAAAAGCCCAAAATTTAGCTGTAACACAGGACAAGGCAGGAGCTTCTGCTCACACCTGAAGGAAAGTTACTGCAGTGACAGTCCCATTTCCCTCTTCAAGAGCAGGAAAAGATGTTAAGACACAGCCTAGAAACTCTCTCAGTGGCCAAATTGTTTCTTCAGGAACCCGCGATGCAGTGGGACAATAATACTTCCTTTTCTGAAGCATTTTCCCAAGGAAAGCTCCCTGCTGCCCTGAGCCAAGCACTGTTATCCTCACACAGGTGTAAAGGGGATGGTACAGGCACCAAACCATGAGGGATTCACCTTGGCAAGCAGCAGCAAGCTGGTGGCAGAGCAGAGGCCTGGCAGAAAACCCCCATTCTGACCAAAAAACGGCAGCAAAACTACTGGGCAGAATGAAAATAATTCCCAACAACAGAGGAGGGGAAAGGAAGGGGGAAAGCATTCCAGATGTGGGCAGCCATGGAGCCATGGGAAAAGTTAGTGTCAGCCTGAAAAGGACAAATTGAGCTGAGAAGGCACTCCCACCCTTGTGATGTGCAGCCAGAACATCAGAGCATGAACTCACAGTGGCAGCTGAGCTCCTCTCAGTCCCCTGTGCCTGTCACTCACCCCTTTTCCATGGCCATGGCCTCTCCTGTGTCACAGCACGGCCTCATCCCAGCTCCTATGTAACCATCCCACGTGCAAAACTTGTATTTGGGAAAACATTTATAGCAAGATCATAATGTATTGAGTGAAGTATTTAGTCCTCAGTGAAAACAAGCACCAGCACTGCTGCAGTGACACCCACCTTGCTCAGCAGAACTCCAGCCTGACAAACACTTGTTTGTCCAACCCAGTTGCCCCAAAGTCTCTGTCCTTGATGACCCTGAGGAACCAAGACACCACAGCCACTTCCAATCCTCAATTTGTCATTTGTTGGTTACAAAGATTTCCAGTTTCTAGGGGTACTCTATAATCACAATGATTGAGACATTTCTGCCTCTGTTCCAAGGAATTCCCTCTCACCATCAGGGTGCCGACATGGAGGGAGGTAAAATGCATAGTGAGGTCTCCCACAGCGAGGTCTCTCCTCTGGTGAGGCCACTTGTTCTCCTTTTAGTGCCCCTGCACTGTCACAGCCTCTGTTTGGCCTTCACTTCCAGCAGGGGCCTTGCCCCCGATGGCTTTGTTGGAATAATCCCGCTCTCCAAAAATAGTGCTCCCAATCCTGACGTTTGTAGATCCAACCTCTATCTGGAAGGGACAGAGAGGAGGAGCTCAGGGCAGGGCTGCCACCACCCCACGGCCCAGCCCTGGCTCTCACAGGGTGGTTCCCCTGGGACTCAGCACCCACAGCTGCACCCAGGGGCTGGTTTGATCCCAGGAATCTCCCCAAGGACCAGGAGAGCTGCCCTGGGATCTCCATCCAAGGGGAAGCCTTAGAGGCTGTTTAGGTGGCCCCCGGGCTGGAATTTGGGGTGCAGGCACGTTTGTTCCCCCAGAGAAGGAGCAGGAACACACTTACTGCGTGCTGGAAATCCGTGGACATGCCCATGCTCAGCTCCACCTTGTCCAGGGGCAGGTTCAGCTTCTCACACACCTCCTGCCGCAGGGACAGCAGCACCTGCAGGGCACGAGGGGACAGGAGAGGGTCACATGTGGACACAGCCACACCAGCTCCATCCCAGGGTGCCACAGATCCTGATTCCTGCCCGTGCCTGAGGTCTCCTTCACACAGGATGTGCAATTCCCACACTCCCACGGAAGCACCAACAGTGTCTGGAGGTTTCCAGATTTACTGACAGCACACAGCAGCTGAAACTTCACCTGGACCAGGGGCACAGCAACTGCTGCCCTGCCAAAATCCTGGCTGCAGCTTCAGAGGGTGGGTGGGAGCAACACCCTGCAGAAAAAAGCCTCCCACCTGCACTGACACTGAGGGCTCTTCCCCACCCTGCACAGGGTGTTCCTACATCCTGACAGCCTGGCTTGGACTGGTTTGACTGGCACAGACAAACTGTAACAGGAAACCAGCCCACTATGACATTTTCTTCAAGAATCTTACCTGGAAGTCAGGATTTGGCCCCTTACTGAGGTCGTGCCCGATGCTGCCAATGGTCATGAGCCCCACGAATTCCAGGCTGGGGCACTTGGTGATGACATGCTCCACAGCAGCCGTGGTGTCCCCGGGGGAGAGGCCATGCTTGCCTGGGAAAGCACAGGGACATCTGTGCCAGCTCTGCTTCCAGAGCACAAACCAGCCCAGCCCCTCCGAGCTCCCTGTCAAGGCAGCAGGACAAACATGCACATGTCACAGAGAGCCACTCACTGTCCTCCCCACTGGTGTTAACTTGCACCATGACCTTCAGTTTCTGGGATGATCCTTTTTTCTGCCATGAGCTGTTGACTCTGTCTGCCAGTTTCACAGAATCCACTGTTTCCAACATGAACAGGTTTGGGACAGCTGGGGAGAAAACACAGGCTGAGGGGATTTTGCTGGGATTGTTTGTACCTACAACAGGCAATTGTGAGTTGATGGTTTTTGTTTCAGAGGATCATGAAATATCCTGAGCTGGAAGGGATCCCCAGGGACAACTGAGTCCAACTCCTGTCCCTGCACAGTCCCCACAACAACCCCACTGTGCACATCCCCGGGAGCAGTGCCCAAACCCTCCTGGAGCTCTGGCAGCCTCGGGGCTGTGAGCATTCCCTGGGGAGCCTGGGCAGTGCCCAGCACCCTCTGGGGAAGAACCTTTCCCTCATCTCCAGCCTGAGCCTGTCTGACACATCTGAACACTGGGAGACACTGCCCACATAAAGCCAAGCAGGATTTACCAATCAGCTTGTTGACATTGCCCTTCTGCAGGTGGCCAATAAAATGCCACTTGATGTCTGGACAAGACGACAGAATCTGAAAGCAGAGGGAACACTCAGGTTGGAGCAACAATGCCCTCTTCCCCCACGCAGCACTTCAGTCTCAGTTTGCCCACAACCAAATACCAGACACCCAATTTCTTTGTTTGGTGACCCTGAAGGACTCAGCCTGTGGTCGTGCTGAGGTTGAGCCTGGGGAGGGATGGGTTTGTGGCTGCAGGGAATGCTGTCCATGGGAACAGCAAAGGCAAAGCTCTTTTGCAACAGTCATAAAACGCTGTTTTCCCCAAAATGAGTGTTAACCTTTTTTTTTTTCAACAAAGACTGTGCTTCTCCTAAAGTGAGCACAAAAGGCAAAGCACAGTGCAGACAAATCATGACTAAGGCAGATGTATTCCCAGACTCCTCTGGAGCCAGCAAGGCAGGAGGGGGAACGGGGCAGAGGCAGAGAGCCAAGAATAACCCACCATTTATCTGCAAAGATAAGGATCCAACCAAATCCCTAACAAACCCCAGGACTTTGACTGAACAGCTCTTAGGACACAGCTATACATGGTAAGAAAACACGAAGGGAACCGTGTGCTTACTCTGGAGTCTGATGCCTTTTCCAGCAGCTCCTGAACCTGGGAGAATGAAGGAGAATTCCATTAAACCCACAGCAGGCATAGGATTGGTGTCCTTGGGATGTGTGTTCTAGGGGCCAGCCTGAGCCTCAAAAACACAATGGGAATGACGCTGTCACCCAGAGAGCCACGCAAACTGGGCTGGCCCAAGCCTCTGAGAGGAGTTTCTTCATGGAGAGGGTTGTTAAACATTGGAAGGGGCTGCCCAGGGAGGGGTTGGAGTCCCCATCCCTGGAGGCGTCCAGGAAAGGACTCGGGGTGTAGCTCTCAGTGCTCTGGGCTGGGTGACAAAGTGGGGATCGGGCACAGCTTGGACTCGATGACCTTGGAGGGTTTTTCCAACTGGAATGATTCTGGGATTCTGTGCCCTCCACAGAGCCCCTTTCCCAGCCCCACTGACCCTTTCCAGCCCCTCGGGCCCCGGACTCACGTAGTTCTCCCCGAAGCTGCGCTGCCCGTGGCTGTAAGCCTCCATCACCATCTCCGCCGGCTTGGTCTTGCTGACGGCCACGAGCCGCGGCTGCACGGCCGGGAGCCCCTGCGGGAGCAGCGCGGGGTGAGCGGGGGGATCCCGGCTCCAGCCCCGGGCACCCCCAGCCCCGAGCACCCCCAGCTCCGGGCACCCCCAGCCCCGGCTCCGGGCGCCCCCGGCCCCAGCCCCGGCTCCGGGCACCCCCATCTCCAGCTCCAGGCACCCCCAGCCCCGGGCACCCCCGGAGCTGCCGGGGCAACGAAGGGGCCTGGCCCTGCTGGGAGAGCGCCGGCCCGGGCACGAAGCACGACTGTCGCGACACTGGATCCTGGGGGGCTCGGACAGCCAGATCCGTGCTGTGCCCGTCCCCGGGGCACTGCGGCTCTGTGCCCACGGTGCCCAGTGACCCGGTGGCCACCGGTCCCCACGGCGCGGGCCTGTCCCCGTGGTGACGGAGGCCTGTCGCGGTGGCAGCCACCCCGCCCCGCGGGTCCCGCCGGGTTGCTCGTGGTCCCCCCGGTGTCCCCCTCACCTGCGGCCTCCGTGCCGCCGCTTGCTGCACCTGCTCGGTGACGGCGCGCAGCGCCGGGCCCAGCCCGTTCCCGGCGGCCATGCCCGCTCTCCACATTCCCCCCCCCCGCCCGCCCGCCACTTCCGCCACACACCCGCCCCGCCCCCGTCCCCGCCAATCGGATCGCTCCGAGCGGCGCCGCCGGCCAATGGGAGCGCGGGGCGGGGCGCGGCGGCGCCATCTTGGGAAGGTCGCGGGCGCCATGGCGGCCCCGTGGGGACGGCGGCGCCCGGCCGGGGCTCCCCGGCTTATCCCTGTCTCTGGGTTTTGGTGACAGATCCAAATCTTTCAGTGCCCCGAGTAACAGGAGCGAGCGCTGCCACCCAGCCCACCCGACTGTTCCAGTCCCGACCACCCTCCACGCCCACCCCCAACAATTAGGTTGTTATCCCTGCATGAGGAGCCGTCCCCCAGGGTGTGAATTTCAATTATTGCGGGGAAAAAGCGTCATCAAAACAAGGCAGGGAACAGAGCCTGTGCTGCAGGCCCAGTGTGAGGTGCGGGGAGCGCCTGGACAGCAGCTGCAGGGGCCGGGACAATGCCCGGCTTTATGGACGAGCTCCGAGGGGAGGAATGGGAAAGCGCCGGCTGGAACCCATTAACTCAAATATTTGTCTTAATGTGCAGAACTTCACTGTCCCTCTGCACATTCAGTGTTTACACAGCTGGGTAAAAACACCCAGAAGGTTCCTGCCCTTTGTCTGGTAAAACATGACAAGGATTTTCTGCGAACTTTAGCAAGTCCGAGGTGTTTGCTGCTCCAGTCTGGTTCCTGTGTTTTGCTCATCCCACAGCAAAGCAAGGGCTGACAGACACGGGATTCCTTGGACACCTCTGACCCTTCTCCCACCTTCCTCCTCCTCACTGGGAAGGGAGAACCAGCACCCCACAGCTCCCCAGTCCCACCGAGCACCGCCTCTGGAAAATCCTCCCCTGCAAACACACGACATTAAAGTCCATCTACAAACCCTGACATGAAAATGGGAAGACTCTAAAATTGAAGGCCATTTTATTGTCATAGCAAATACCAAAATAAAAAGGCTTTGAATTCAGTATATAAGATCAAAGACTGCACTGGCAGAGCATTTCCATGCCTCAGCTATCAGCAGTGCCACAAACCTCTGTTCCCTTTGCTACAGAGTGGGTTTAAAGTTCAGATCTTCATCTCAAGATTAGAGAAACAGGACAACTTGCCTGTTAAACAGACAGAGGGAACAAAGGTTTACATGGAGAGATGGATCCACTCTGGAAAATTCAGGACATTTTAGAGTGAAGAAACCTGAATGAAGACACGACGACACATCTTGGCTTGTGAAGACTGATAGACTCTCAACTTTGCTTTTGCTTTTTTACTCTTAGTACAACTTAACTAAATTACATTAATACTTCAGCAGTCAGGGTGTTAATTAAAAAAAATCATTAAGAGCTCTTTATCCCAAGCTATTGTCTTGCTGTGAAATCACACATAAAAAAAAGCTTTTATAATACCACTTTGGCTTAGTTGGGTCCTTTCATTAGTGAAAAATACTTGTGTAAAAGGTGTTAGCTGCTGCTGAAAACCTCGAGCACGAACATAGAACAATCTCAAATGAGCTCATCCTCACAGCTAAACTTCTGCTCTTCCCTGTTCAAATCTGCCTGCACAGACTTATTTTTGAGTCAGGAATATCACAGCCTCCCTGAGGATGCTGTTGACTACTGTGGGTCTGATGTAGGTCTGGACATGAGACTTCCCTTAGCTCCTATTTTTCAAGAAATCCAAAGAGGATGGGACTTTTCTCCAGCAGAAACTGATGCTTAATTTCTAATTATTGAAGATTATTTATTCAATTATTTCTAACTGAAAAATTTGCATTTTCAAGCATCAACAGGGAAGAGAGAACTGCTGTAAAAACCCTGGAGCAAGCAGCTGAGATTCATCTGAGCTCTCTTAGAGAACACAGGTTGATGGTTTGAACACTGAAGGGTGACACCAGGGCTACTGGGAGCAAGAATTTGGGGCACGAGTCTGTGAATGCACCAGGCTGGTCTCTGACACTGAGCACTGGCATCATCTCACAAGAGGATGCTGGCTTCAAATTATATCAGCAATTCATCACCAGGCTTTGCTGCCAAATGCAGATGGAATAAGTAGGGGAAAAAAAAAAAATGTTCTCTCTAGGCCTGAACTTTTATCCTCAAATTTTGCATGTGTGGAAAACAAAGCCTTGTTCCCTCCTTGCATGTGGGATGTGAGGAACTGATCAGCTCTCTGGAGGGGAAGGAACATTCTGGTACATTGTTCTCAGAGAAAAAGGGGAGTCTATCTTTGGGTGCTCAGGAAGAGCTACTTTTCTGTGCCCTGTGACCTTTCAGGATCCTGGTTTGTCCTTGGCCAGTAGGAAATCTTCCTTCCACCAGGTCCATTCAGCCCCACAGCAGCTCAGCTCTGCTCACTTCAGCTCACCTGAAGGTCCTTTTTCTAGTCAGACACTGTAAACTCTGAGATCCAGTTGCTCCCACAGAACAGATAATAAGCTGAAAAACTGTCTGGTAACTCCAGCAGCTCCTCCCCAGAAAGGCCTTTTGTAAAGTCAGGGTCCCTGAGACAAAAATTCTTTCCTCCCTGGTTTTCTATGACATCTCCATCGTTTCACTGAAAATCCCACCCAGCTCTGCACTCCAGGACGTTGCCCACGCCCTCCCCCAGCAGCTGAACTGCTGGGACAACTCTCCTGTGCCCTACAAAAAATGACAAATGGAAAACAAAGCAGAGTTAGGACATAGAAAATGAAGAGCTTGGGTCACTCCCCGCGTGACGTGGTCTAAGGCTTTGATCCCCCCGTGAGTGGGAACCTGCAGGATTCCAGCTGAGCCTCTGTCCCTCGTGGGGTCACCTCCTGTGGGCTCAGCAGCCACCTGTAGTGTACAAAATCTAGCACCTTATTTTCAGAGGGGATTGAAATAAAGTACTTGAATTTTCAATAAGAAATAAACCCAAAACAAGTTGTAGCAGCAATTCCCCTCCCTTCAAAACCTCAACATTTCTTTACCTGCAACTGCTATGAACCACCTCAATCCCAAATTAGGTTCCCACCCAGCTGACAGCCCTGACAGCCTCTCCCAAATCCTTGGTCTGTGTGACCAAGAGCTGGGGAGGTGCAGCTACAGAACACACCTGGAGCTTAGAAATTACCAGAAAACCCACCCCATAAATACCAAAATCCTTGTGTCTAATTGTCATACAAAAGATTGAAAGGATTAAATCTGATTCATCTCTTTCAGCACGGGAAAGGGGGAAAACGAAAAGGAATTTCCCAGTTCATGATTTTTTGATATAAAATGAGTAGAAATCTTTCTTTTCAGTTGATGCTATGGAGTAGTTTTGTGTCCTCGCTGGCTCCTGCCCCGTCCTCCTCCTGGATTCCTTCTGCCAGTCCCTCTGCAGATTTGCTCTGGCTCCCTGCAGAGTCCATGAACATGTTGGGAATATCTTTGCCAAAGTAGATCTTGCTGTTGGCTGCTATTGCCTTGTACTTCATCAGCTGCAAGTACTCGGGGGTTAACTTGAGCTGCACGGAGAGAAAACGGGTCAGCACAGCTTGGGCAAAGGAAATTCCTGCCACGAGCACACGAGGCACATCCTTCCCACAAACCCAGCAGGCACAGCCAGCCCTGCACAGGGAGAACAGGCAGTGCCCAGAGCCAGGGCTCAGTGCAGCTCTACATCCAGGGACTAAAGGCAGAATGAAAAGGGATGGGGAAACACAACCCAAACGTGATGGAGATGCTCGAGGGCACATCACTCACTGCAACCCCTGCAATGAGAGCTGCTGAGGAGGGAAATATCCCTGGCTCTTTTCCAGGGAGCAGATCTAAGAGTGTGGGTGAGAGGATCTCACTCCTTCAGGATAATGGCATTGGAGCAGAGAGGACAGAACAACTGGCACAAAACCTGTGACAAACACCCTGTCCCTCTGCCCCTTCTCTGCCCAGCACAGAACTGAAACTTCCTGCTGGGATGTCCTGGGAACTTGCTGTAGGCAGGAACACACCTGGCAATTCTTCCCGTGTAATTTTTCTGTTTCCAGGTTGGATTTTTTGTTCTTTTCGCTTCTGCAGTACCGAGGCTCTTCCAGGGTGTGTGAGATCAGCTCCATTTGTTCTTTCCCTGCACTGTGGTTTATTCCACCCCTGCCTGTCACCCTGGAGATCTCCCTGCTCTGACTGCCTGCCAACTTGAGACTGGAATGAAACCACATTTCTCATCACAAACAGTGTGAAGGGGCAGCACTGGAAGTGACATTCCACAGAGAGTCACGGCCCTGTGAGCACCTGGCAGAGCAGAGATTTCACATACCCTGACACTGATCTGTCCAGAGAGCAAAATGAACTTGCAAATAAGGATCTAATTGTTGACTAATTGTTTCAGATGAAAGCTTTGCTGAGAGATGGCCTTGTTTTGTTTCTTTGACTTAAACCACGATCCCTGCCTGCTCTTGTGCTGTGTTTCCCTACAGCCTGGTGCCAGGGGCCCTGCTCTGAGGCACCACAAAGAAAAGCACAGTACCTTGTTGGCCTCAGCCACTTTCATTGCAGTGTAACACTCAGCATCAGCTCTCGCCTTCTCTCGTGCAAGAAACGCAGCATCTGGAAGCAAACACATGCTCTGAGTCACATTTTTATTTCCAGCCATGTTAGCACTGTTTGCAGCTGGTAGCTCTTCAGAAAGTGGCCAGTGCCACATCTAAACTACACAGGATAGAAGGGAACAAAATGGGAAACCCAGAAATGGGAGCTCAATTCACAGCTAAAGGGCTGCAGGACGAGAGCATTAAAAAGTAAATTGCATCTGCAACTGCAGAGCTCAAAGAACTTCACAAACATCAGGGTTTGATTATCCCCATCACGTGGGCTGAGCTCAGCCTTTCTTCTCGAGCCAGGACTGACTCTCATGCTGAAACTGCTGTCCTGCAGACGTGGGATTTACCCAGAGCCTCTGCCCAGCACTCCAGGAACAGCCCGGGCAGCCCAGCAGACTCTCTGCAGATGAGCTCTGTGCCTGTGATTCCCAGATGGGATTTGGGACATGCATATGAAGCTTCTGGCATGCAGAAAAGGAGATTTTCACCTTTACAGGCTCTGCCCCTTGCACAGATGCTGGAGAGCTTTTCTCTCTTCTGTCAAGAATTGCTGCAAGGCTCTGATTCTGTGGATACTGAAAT